AAATGAAATCACTCTGCAAAAGTATCATGGACTGCTAAAATAGGCAGGAGGGAAGATTTTCAAGGTTTCTTTTATCATGTTCCCATAATATTCATAAACAGGTATACAATTATATCGAAAGGATTTTTAGGGCTTTTTTGTGTGTGTACTTTGCTTTTCTATTTAGAGAAAATGTACTGCCAACCAGACTTGTAAGAGAACAAAAAAGACATATGAGTGGACAAGCTTTATATAAACCATACCAAACAAAATTAGATTTAGAAAAGGTATTTAGGTACATGAATTAAACATCTTCAGTGTTTCTTTCTTGTAATTATATTCCAACTTGAAAGTTACCCAAGTATCTAGAATATGTGCTCTTAGAAAATAAGACTATTTTTTTAAAGATTTTATTTATTTATTTGACACAAAGCATGAGAGAGACCATTCGCAGGGCAAGCCGCAGAGGGAGCGGGAAAGAAGCAGGCTCCCCGCTAAGCAAGGAGCCCAGTGCTATGCGGGACTCAATCCCAGGGCCCTGAGATCATAACCTGAGCCGAAGGCAGATGCTTAGCCAACTGAGCCACCTAGGTGCCCCCCAAATAAGACTTTTTCAATTGGAAAACAGATACTTTAATCCTAGTAGGAGGAGAAATAAGAATGAGAATGGAAAAGGGAGTGGAGAAGGGAATGTTCAAAGAGCAAAAACAAAACCTGTTGAGTGTGCCTTATAGAAGCAGATATGTTTTTTTTTTTTAAAGGTTTTATTTATTTATTTGACAGAGATCACAAGTAGTTAGAGAGGCAGGCAGAGAGAGAGGGAGAGTGAAGCAGGCTCCCTGCTGAGCTGAGAGCCCGATGTGGGACTCAATCCCAGGACCCCGAGATCGTGACCCGAGCCGAAGGCAGTGGCTTAACCCACTGAGCCACCCAGGCGCTCCCAGCAGATATGTTTTTAGGTTGAAAGGAAGAAACTCAAAATTAAGGTGAGAAAAGGTAATTGGTAGAGGGGATTGGGTCAAAGCCTCCTCCATAACAGGGTAGAACCCTGGGCAAGAAGAGAAGCAGCAGGTATGGATACAGAAAAGATATTAGAGAGATGAGACCTAATGTTCTACATGTTTTGAATAGTACCCAGTCCACATCAGAGCATGGAAATTAGCTACGGGATGTGAAGACAGTGGGGCAGATTTGAATAGTTGTTAAGAGAAATGGGAAAAGGAAGTAGCCAGGTACAAATGCAACAATTGATGATTGGTTTAAAAAAGAAAAAAAAAAGCCAACAAGATTTCTTTGATCTATCACAACGTTCACTCAGTGGAGGAAGAAATAGATTTATAATTATGTGTACATTATAGTTGTGGGGGGTTTAGTACCCTTTTGTTGGTATGCCGTTTTACACTCCGTTCTTTTTCTTCTTTGGAATTGGGGCATTTAAAAAAGACTGAATCACCTAATATGCATGTTAGATGAGGGGAAAGCAAAACAACTCATGCAATCTGGGAAAAAAATATTCTGTTCTCAGATATCCATGAAAAATAGATTTCAGCGTAGGAATGCTGTCACAGGAAAGGTGTTCTGGGTCTAGACTAGAATTGACTGCAGCCTGAACAAAGGTGTTAACCTACTTAAAGAAGAAAATTTTACTCTGAGGGACCAATTAAAATTAGTCTTAAAACAAAGGAAGGGAGTGAGTCATACACGCTGTTCTTTATGTGGTGTGACCAAGGCCGGCCAGGGTTGTGCCAGTTTGCGGCAGTAGGAGCTATAGTGGCCGAGGGGGCCGTGATAATCCTATGGGAATCATTTGTGCTCTGTGCTCCTAAGCTGGCTTATTTATACGGACTTGATATTTTCAATGAAGTGTCAGTGCCACTCGTTGGCAGAGGGCCTCGTCTCTGTCGGAGATAATGAATGATCAGAAACATCATCTCATCAGAGAAAGATTTCAGCCTAGAATAACCAGACTATTAACGAGCTTGGGTATCTGCTGTGTGACAGACACCGTGCTTGGTGCAGAATAAGATCTTCCCCATGGAGATTGACAGGGTGTGTCTCCTGCTGTGGCATTTTTAATCAGAACAGACACCACACCTCCGCTGTGGGCTTGCTCGTCCCAATTCTGACCCATTTCCCACCTTTATGGGGCGTTGGAATTCCAGCTGAGCCTGAATACCCACAGTACATGTTCAACATTTTGCTTCAACTCGTCTTTTTTTTTTTTCTTTAAATATCACGAATTCAACCAAATGGAGTTGTCCACGGGACCTATAAACCAGTGCGGGGAATTAAAGTCAAAGATACACGGCTTGTCCCAGCCCGCAGAGCCGGTGGGCACCTTGAATGCACAAGTCTGATCCGTTTCCTGGAACAGGCTCTTAGAGACAAGCACCCATCCCTGCCCGCCCTTCATTCCTACTTCACATGGGGCTGAATTTCTACCTTGAAGTGGATGTGGCTGGCAAGGAAAGAGTTTCTTAGCGGCCCTTCTTGGGACAAGAGATGCCACGCTGGTTCTCTGTCAAAGTTCTTTTCCAGGAAGCACATAAGGGGAGTGCGGAGCCTCAGGCTCACGTGGTCAGTAACCCCGAAAGTGCCAACCTCCTGCAGTGAGGTCACATTAGCAAGGGCGGTTTCACTACCACGGCTTTGTATCACTGGGATCCTGGTGCTTGCTCCTTAAAACAAGACGTAATGCTGCCTCCTCTTTCCTGAGGCCTCAAGAGGAAACTTTCACAATAATATTTTCAGAAAATTTGCTGTGGGCCTAGCGACGTTTTTTAAAAAATAAAAAAGCATTTTGGTTGGCTGGACACCTTCTAGTCCCTATGCCTGTAGTCTGTTCCTTGCAGGGCCCAGCTTTTTGTGCCTTCCAAGTGACCAATAGCTGAAAAAAGTATATTTATTTGCAAAAACAGGAGAGCCTCTCTCTCCACCCAAGCAGCTCCTTCCAGTAAACTCTCTTTTAGATGGGTAGCCAGTATCTTTGCGGTCTAGACCAAAGCAGTGATGCCGTTGTGGGGATTCTGGGTCAAGTCAGGCACGATGAGTCTGCATCACTGATGGGCTTTTAGGGTGGTGGGTGTATCTGTGAGGAATTGTGTGAAGGTGCACGTAGAGTAACCCATCTACAGGGGCTTAACCACATGGCAATGTACTGTGGCTAGGTAGCAAGAAGCCTGAAGGCACGTCGTGCGGGGCTGAAGGACTTGTCGTGGCTACTTCTAGCTTCTTGCTCTGCCATCCTTAGCATGAGGCTCTCATCCAAGAACAGGGGGAGGGAAGAGCATAAAGGGTTATCGAGGCTGCCCTTTGTAACTCAGGAAAATGATAGCTTTCCTGGTAGTCCCACCCAGTAGACTTGCATTGCCGTGGCGCTGCCAGAGCTATGCCACGTGCCACCCTCAGCTGCAAGGCATTCTGGAGAGGTGAGTGTCTTTAACTGGGAACATTGTTGCCTTGGGTAAAACTGGGGTTCATTTGGCAAGGAGGAAGCTCAGTGGAGGGCAGTGGTCGGGATCTGCCCCGAGGAGCCCCACGACATCTATCACAACCAGTTTTAGGTGACCGCCTTTTAAATATCGGCATTGCTGTGCTGCTCGGAGAAGGAATGGATGATTGGCCTCATGTTGCTTGTTTGGGGGGAGGGGACTGCAAGAGTGTGCCATGCTTTCCCATTCCTAGAAAGAACAGTGGCCCCTTCTTGATCTTTCACAAAAACAATTTTTGACGACAGTGTGCTCAGTGCAAAAGGCAGGGAGGACCATTGCTCTCAGAGTGTCTTGGCTTATCCCTGTGATGAAGGTAGTGGGCTCCCAGCACAACCCCAGATAGAAACCTCACAGGGCTGGGCTATCTGACCCCTCACTCTGGTCCACTTTCCATTTCTTTCGTGCTCCAGAAGCATGAAAAAACAAAGGGCTGGGGGAGGTTTTTCTTCTCAGGATGATTCTCTTGAGCTTGGGACTTGTTCTCCATCTTTTCCTGTTTTCCAGTGTCCCTCTGACTCCATGTCTAGCTGGTCCCAGCTCTCAGAGAAAGCGTGTCCTTCACCTTCCCTCCTGCGAAAGGGATTTGGGGAGACAGGTGAAGTACGTATGACTTTAAGAACCAGTGTCACTGTACACATTTCCATGTACCTATCAAACTCTGAATGGTCTTTTTTGTTATATTTTCTATTCTAGGCCCTGGGACAGAGCTTCAAACTAGTGTGATGCAGGCAAATGATAGAATATGACCTTCAGCCCTTGGGATGGTGGGGGAAAGCCTGGAGCCCCCAGAACATCCCTGCCTTCCGTTTTAAGTTACTAGCGTCTCTTTCGTTCGTCAATGCGCCCTACAAATATTGCTGTTTTCTGTGTGCTGGGGGGTCAGAACGCTTGGGAAGTGCTGGTACAGTCCTGCTCAGGTCACTGTCGTCCATCCAAGCAAAAGCCTAAACCCTTTCTTCTTTTTTTGTATTGTTCAAGGTTTACGCCTTTGACCTTCTATGAAAGATTACCCTAGCAGACATGATGATTTGGTTGGTGCCTCCTGAACACTGTTCATGGCAAACCTGTACTGTGTCTTCACTCATTGTCACAGCTTAAGGTCCCCCCCCTTTTTTAAATTGCGTTTGGAGTTCTATTAGGGTCTCCCAGCTTTGCTCTTCCTTTCTTTTTTTCTAGGATTTTGTAGATGGGAGTGCACCCAACTCCTTTCTTATCTGTCAGCTCACCGCTGACCCTGCAGTGGTCATACCCTTTGTTCTTTCCAGTTTCGTCTTTTGGGGACGTTCATTGACCCGGCCAAGCCCAGAAATGTCAGCCTCCTTCCACCCGCTCCCCGGTTCTCCCGTATCAATGCAAGTGCAGAAATGCAGGGCGGCAGTCGGCTGGGAGCTGGTTCCTCATCATAGTGCCTGTTAATACTTCCCCCTTTATCTCTTCTTTCCTTTATTTTAGAACTTGCATTAGTCTTGGAGCTAAGGAAGGACACATAGGTTGTAATTAAGCTGAAAAGTGTTTGTTTGGTTTTTCCAGATGAGAATTCTCCAGCCAACTTCTGGGATTCTAAAAACAGGGGTGTGACTGGAACCCAAAAAGGGCAAATTGTGTGGAGAATTGAGCCCGGGCCCTATTTCATGGAACGTAAGTACTAAACGAGAAATAGAAGTTTGTTACGGAACATTCCATAAATACATGGAAACCTAGGGGGTCTTTTCTGAATTTATTATGAAAGTTTTTGGCTCCAATTTACATATTTATGCCATGTGTCTTCAAACTGGGAAATATATTGTTTTAGAAAATGCTCGTTAGAGGATGTTCACATATTTTTAAAAAGCGTGTGTAAATATGTGTGTGTGTATACACGTGCACATTACATGTACCTTGTGAATGCGTAGTATATAAAGCATGTATTTATTCTATTATTTATTTTAATACTTCACATATTTTATATACCCTGTATCTACATTTGTAATTAATATTTATTGTATTAATTTCAAAAAAGCAAAAAGAATAATTCAAGATTTCAGTTAATTTAAGAATCTTATTGGCCTATAGAATACTTGGCTCTCATTTCCCCCAGCAGCAGTAACTACTGTGTTTGGGTCCTGGTCTTCACAAGGAGGTGGGAGAGTCGAGGTCATTTTTAAAAACCAGAAATTGGCTGCAGATAACTCAGCCATAACCCAGTTGACTTGATGATGTATTTTTTGATAAAGATAAATGCTTCCACATAATACATGGTTCACAGAAATATCTTCTTCCCTCTTATTTAGGGTGAAGGGGAGTACTTATATTTGCCACTAATACTATTGAGAATGTAGTACATATGTTTTTGTGGAACAGATAGAAGTGTGAATGAATATGTGATTTACTGGATAGTCGAAAGGAACTTAAACATTTGGAGAATTCTTCGTTAATGTAGAAAAATGGGCTATAAAATTCTCCTGAGTTGTTTAGTTTGGGTAAGAATTAAGAGATTTAATATAGGAGAGTGTGTATGTAGATGTTAGTACTGAAGGATGGTACATATTAAACCTTAAAATACAAATTAAGATTTGATTAAATGAGAACCTGAAATAAGTGTATTTTTATTGAAGTATATAAATTTCTGGAATATAAAAAGTTATTTTCAAAGACGAACATCTGTCACTTTGAATTGCCATTAAAGACATCAGATAATTTCTTCCACACCCTTAGTGGTAGGTCAGCATTTCCTAACTTTCTCTAATCAAGCTTCTCTCCCCAAAGGACTGTCTTTTTTTTTTCGTAGTTCAGTAGCTGGCTAGAGTCTCTCTTGAAACCTTAAGGAGACTGCAGTTTTTAAGGGAGAATGCTCATGATGTATCATCAAGCGAGGGGGCAAAAAAGCAGGTAGATAAGACACAAGTCTAACTAATATCATGATCCATAGGAAAAAGTCTGGAAGGAGATTTGCCAAAATGTGAACATGGGTTGTTTCCTAGGAGGTCAGATTATGGGTCATTTGTTTTTCTGGCTCATTTCTACTTTTCTTTACTTTCCAACATTTGGCCCAGTGCTGGCATTGCCATTCACTAATGAGAAAAATAAGTGATAAAAGAATGTGGGAGAACATGGAATGGGTTATTTTCTTTTTTTTTTTATCATTTTTTAAAAATTTATTTTCAGCATAACAGTATTCATTGTTTTTGTACCACACCCAGTGCTCCATGCAGTCCGTGCCCTCTCTAATACCCACCACATGGTTCCCCCAACCTCCCACCACCCCACCTCTTCAAACCCCTCAGATTGTTTTTCAGAGTTCATAGTCTCTCATGGTTCACCTCCCCTTCCAATTTCCCTCAACTCCCTTCTCCTAACTCCCCATGTCCTCCATGCTATTTGTTATGCTCCACAAATAAGTGAAACCATATGATAATTGACTCTCTCTGCTTGACTTATTTCACTCAGCATAATCTCTTCCAGTCCCATCCATGTTGACACAAAAGTTGGGCATTCATCCTTTCTGATGGAGGCATAATACTCCATAGTGTATATGGACCACATCTTCGTTATCCATTCGTCCGTTGAAGGGCATCTTGGTTCTTTCCACAGTTTGGCGACCGTGGCCATTGCTGCTATAAACATTGGGGTACAGATGGCCCTTCTTTTCACTCCATCCGTATCTTTGGGGTAAATACCCAGTAGTGCAATTGCAGGGTCATAGGGAAGTTCTATTTTTAATTTCTTGAGGAATCTCCACACTGTTCTCCAAAGAAGAGAATGGTCGAGTTTCATTCTTCTACATATAGCTGGGTAGCTATATGTAGAAGAATGAAACTCGACCATTCTCTTACACCATACACAAAGATAAACTCGAAATGGATAAAAGACCTCAACATGAGACAGGAATCCATCAGAATCCTAGAGGAGAACATAGGCAGTAATCTCTTCGATATCAGCCACAGCAACTTCTTTCAAGATATGTCTCCAAAGGCAAAGGAAACAAAAGCCAAAATAAACTTTTAGGACTTCATCAAAATCAAAAGCTTCTGCACAGCAAAGGAAACAGTCAAGAAAACAAAGAGGCAACCCACGGAATGGGAGAAGATATTTGCAAATGACAGTACAGACAAAAGATTGATATCCAGGATCTATACAGAACTCCTCAAACTCAACACACACAAAACAGATAATCATATCAAAAAATGGGCAGAAGATATGAACAGACACTTCTCCAATGAAGACATACAAATGGCTATCAGACACATGAAAAAATGTTCATCATCACTAGCCATCAGGGAGATTCAAATGAAAACCACATTGAGATATCACCTTACACCAGTTAGAATGGCCAAAATTAGCAAGACAGGAAACAACATGTGTTGGAGGGGATGTGGAGAAAGGGGAACCCTCTTACACTGTTGGTGGGAATGGGTTATTTTCATTCAAGGCGATTCCTCCTTTGAAAGGATCCCAGGGTTTAAGAGACTGATGTAGCTGAGAAATTTTGCCAACTGAACTTCAGGGGAAAAGGTAAAGCAGCCTTCTTGTTCTCTCCAAAACGCCAGTCTGCTAGGAAGGATCACCTGTGGATGGACTGTGCCAGTTCATGCTGTGGGGCTCAGGCCAACAACCTGGGAAGAAGTCAGTATCACATATGGCTCTGTTGGAACACGATGTACGAGAAACCTTATTTGCAGAGGATCCCGCTTGCCGTGGTTGGTTTTATTTCTCCTCCCAAAAGCTTTAGAGATTTGTAATGTCCTGGCTGATCAGGGTATGCTAATATCTCTGTCTGGATGAATGTTTTTCTTTATAGCTTGCTCTAGTATTTAATAGAAATAACTTTGACATTGAAGTTAGGAATTGGGAATGAAGAGTAGGGTTTTGTTGTTGTTGTTATTTTCTCCTCTCAATTCCACCTTAATTCTGCCCCACAAAATTGGAGATACTGTGTATCATGAATGTGAAACTGGAAATATGCGGTAATTTTTTATTTTTTTTTTAAGGACTGAGAAAAGTCATGTTCATTGAAATCCAAGACAGTGAGTGAGAATAACGGGAAGATTTGGCTTCAGAGTAAAGTTTATCTTCATTACTCAAAATGAGGGCCCTCCAACACACATCCCTATCCTTTCAATGTAAAAAGCTCAGGTGTATTCTTCATAGTATAGTCTGTGTCTTTTACACATCACTTTTTTACCCCATATCTGGCTACAGCAGACCTAAGGGGACTTCCCAGCATAATGAAGTTTTGCTTAAACCTTGGGAGCTGATGGCATGGAACTTATAAAGAATTGGGGGGTGCAGTTAGAGAGCTTCTATATTTTCAGTCTCTGATCTTGAAAATTTAGAACATTTAAAAACTTTTGCTCTCATCTTCAGAAAGAAAATTTATCTTTAGCTCATCAGAAGTTCAGGCAAAATAAAATTCTGTGAACATTGACCTAAGTTCATGGGCAAACCTTGATTTGAGCGCTGTCTAAGCTATTTCTGAATGTAAAGATGGCTTTAGTTTGTCTAGATAAAGTCCCAGAGGAGGCAGGCAGCCCAGGCTTCTATTATTACAGGGCCTACTTAAATGAATTTGAAGGACAAAGACGGGTTTAATTTGGGGCAGATGACCTTCCCAGGCACTGGACGGGAGGATCAGCTTCCTCTGCACCTACTTGTCATAAGACTGTCAGAGTCCTCAGATGAGCGTAGTTTGCTGAAACCGAATGGGTCATCTTTGCAGGATGCATCTTGAGTTTGGAAATCTAAGAGGTTTCTAAGTTGTCTCGTCATGCTCGGCTGTCCCTGTTAGTCGATAGTCTTACACAGACTATGGTCATTCATTTATTCATTCATCCAGACCTGCTTTTGTCGTTCCTTCATTCCTTCATTCATCTGTCCGTCTGTCTCTCCCCAGACATCACAAGGTATTAAGTGCCAACCTTGTGTCACATGGCTCTTCTAGGAGCTCACCAAATCCCGGATCGATGAATGAATTTGGAAATAGTAAACCTCACTGCTTTGTGCTAAACTGCTTTGTGATCATTGAGGATAATACCAGGAAATTGATAATATATGATCCAGTGTTTTCACGTATCTTACCTGTCTCAGTCCTGGGAAGTAGGCTTGAGGAGGAAACTGACCATCAGAGATGTAAGTGGCTTGTGTCCATAAGAGCCTCAGCTCTGATTGGCACTCTGATTAATTAGTATACTTTCCAGGATGCAGTGCCTTGCTAAAACAGAACCTTTATGGATGGCTTTAGGTGGGGGGGGGGGCAGGTGGCCTGGGCCTCTTATTTGTACCGTCAGAGTCTTTGCTTTAAACATATCCATTCCCAAGCCCCTCCCCACCAACATCAGAATGACCTTTGGTCCCTTGGATGGAGATTTGGAGCTTTTTATTTTCCACTCTCATACCTTAGGTTTGGGATTCTGTTCATCCTCTAATCCTATTAGGTTTCTGCTACATCCACACTGATATTGTCTGTCTTTGATTTTCGTGATTGTGTATCTGAGCTTTAGCAGAGGAGGGCTTGGCTGCTCAGGCCCCGTTGGCCCTTGTTAAAAGAAGACAACTTGCAATAACATATAAATGGTAAGTTCACCTGTCACTAGAAACATGGGCAGATTTCCTCAAAACCATGAGCACTAGAATGTGTTTACTTTTTCCAGTTTGTGGACTCTGAATAAAAGATCCTATGAATAGGAATCATGATATGAAGACTATAATAAAAGCACTTAGGGCAATAGTTAAAATCATATTTTAGAATAAATTGCAGTTAGCTTGATTTTTTTAAAGATTATTCTTTTTTTAAGATCTTATTTATTTATTTATTTATTTGAGAGTGAGAGAGCACAAATGGGGTGAGCAGTAGAGGGAGAGGGAGAAGCAGGCTTCCCACTGAGCAGGGAGCCTGATGTGGGGCTCCATCCCAGGACCCTGGGGTCATGAGCTGAAGGCAGATGCTTAACCGACTGAACCACCCAGGTACCCCTCAGGATTCTTCTTTTTAAATAAAAATTCTTGAGGAAAGGACATTTCCATTTCATCCATCTTATGGTTCAAAATATTAGACTTCTAGAAACTTGTGAAATAGGGACAAACTATTAGTGACTGCCTAAGTGAATCTTGTAGATATTTAAGGTGATGTGTGAATTCCTAGTCTTTGAAACAAAACCATTCCTTACAGGGCGTGGCCTGTGGAAACTTTTCAGAGAGGGCTTGAAATGGAGTTTTATACTGATGCCCAGAGTTAATGTAGCTGAGTTGAGATTGCTTTTAAAAAATTATTTTTGAATAGGTAGTGTACGAAAAGAGTATAGGTAGTGTTTAAAAGAAACAAAAGGTGAAAGTGAGTATCTCCTCAACTTCATGCTCTGGTCCTCAGTGTCCCTCCCTGAAGACAACCATTTTACCAGTCTCACTTGATCTATCTGGGGATGTCTTACTCAGATACAAACCCAGAAACAAGATGATTGCCTTTAAAATGCAATGTCATTATCACACAGTTCTAGAAACCCCTTTACTTAGGAGCATGGTTCTATTCCTAAACACTATTCAACATTCCTTCCACCTCCGTGACCTCCCCTCATTACCTCAAACCTGAGGTAATGTGTCAGGATCCTCCTCCCGTCTGTGAGGGGATGGAGCTGACGTGCTGGTGCTCTGGGAGATGTCTTCGTTTGTGTTTGTGGAAATTAGTAAGTTAAACATTGAAAAATAAAGGGGCTTTTATGTCTTGTTAGCATTTAAATAGGGGCTGCCAAATCTCTATAAGAACTCTATAAATGAAAGTATCCTGAAGATTCCCGAAAGGCACGAAAATATACTTCCATAATTCATACCTGGCTTCAGGAGGGACCTGAGAGGAAGATGCCATTTGGGTGGTCCTTCCTTCCTTCCAAGACTAGAGTAGGTCCAACCAATGATAGTCCTCATGGGTTAATGTGGGAGGCCTCACCCTTCTCCTGGCCTGCTGCCCTCTGAGGCAACATGCTTTTAATAAGTGGATTTTGGGAAGAGAAAATACTCTTGCTTTTTCTAGTCTGAGGGAGTATGTGCATGCACACACACTCACACACAGGCACACGTATACCTATTTCCATAATCTGAGGCCAATACGAGGAGACTTCGGCTGCCGGATCGGGTTGGGGAGTGCCCGTTCTTGGGGGGATGGGGTCATTCGTCGCCCCTCAGTCCTGCATCTGCCCGGCCCGTGCCTGGGGCTGGCCGGCCCCACGGGCGGGGGGCTCCTCCCTTCTCTGGTGCCCCATCATCATTCACCTGCTCACTTTTCCCTGTGCTGGATCCCTTTCTCGGAAGTAGCTTTTTGTTTTCCTCTGCAGTTTAGTGGTTACAATTTTTAGCTTAAGTAGAAGCATGAATCCCAGCTCCCCTTTTCTACCCATCTTGAGTCATCTTCTAGGTTACCTCTTTGGACAACTAAAATGTTCAAGCACATCGATCAGAATGCGGCTCTCTCTTTCCCCTCTCTCACTCCAAGGGACACTGGTTAGTCACACCATTTTGTAAAATCTCGAGTGACCTCCTAAAGCACTAACTAATATTTGCCGAGGAGCGTCCCCTCAGCACGGAGCGCTGCTGTATTTTTGAGGGGCGGGACTGGTGTTCTGCTTGCGGAGCCAGAGCCGGGGCCTTTCAATCCAGACACAAATAACTAGAGACTTTTGTTATAGCAAAGAATAAATGGTACCCAGAATGGGTTCACTAGCAAAGCTGTGAATAAGACTTTTTTTTTTTTGGTCCCATAGTCTGTTACATAGCTGCCTCTTAACACCTTACAGAAGAGGAGAGAGCATCCTAATGAGAGGGAGTTAGGGGACGATGTCTTATAAAATGCACTTCCCTTTATGGGAAAATGAGCTGCTCGCTCACTTACCATTGACGTGATCTATGCGGCGCTGCTGCGGGCAGATTCGCGGACGGCTGGTGGCCAGCGTTCCGAGTGTGACGCTAACGAGCTCCGCCCGCAGAGTTCAGTCCCCGGCTCGTCACTGAGCTGGTTCTGCGGTGGCGTGTGCTTGGCGCTTGGCTTTGTTCTTATGGCAGACACGCTGTTGGTCCTGGAAGAAAGCAAGTGGGGGAGGAAGAGGAAGGTCCGCTGTGATCTATGCAGCCGTTACCATTTCAGTAATAACTGAAAGCTTGTGTTCCCGTTTGGGAAGGTCCTTTACAGAGGTGTTCCCAGGCCAGTGAGGTCATAGTAAAGCTGGACCTGCGTCGTCGTCTCGCTGTTCCTCCAACCTGGCACGCTCCTTCCCCTCTCCCTTTCGCCCCTCCTCACTCGCTCGGCTCCATTTATCTCCTCTGTAAGTTTGAGTCCAGACCAGTTTGTTCCATGAGGTCTTTCTGACTCCACTGCATCCTCACTCATCCTCTCCGTGGTCTCTACACTCTGCCGCCTCTCGGCCCTTTGTTTTTAGTTCTTGTCTCTTATATTGTGTCCTGCCCGTAATCATCATCCCAACAGCTACACTATGAAACACCTGCTAGACCAGAGCCCCTCTCTGATTCCCTGGGCATGCGTTGTGATGGGTACCTGGGAAAGATCTCCTGCTTGATGATGCCAAGTACCTTGTGAGCCACCGCACTGCGAGCATCATACATGATGGAAACACTCACTACTCTGCCCCATGACAGAGTGAATTTTTTGAGCTTTAGTATTTTGTCATTGATAGGAAAATATAATATGATATTGTATTCTTGTATATAGTATTTTAAATCCTGTATAAATTTCTAAAAGAGGGTTTTTCTTTAATCATTCAATCTTTCTCTTAAAATAGTCAAACCAAATACTCTGCAGGAGGCCATTCAGCACAGGGAGGAGAGTCAGTGGACTCTGAGCTCCCTTGGGGAAGTACATCTAGTTGGTCCCACTTTAGTAACCCAGGCAGCTCAGCTGAGAGGGGAGCTCCACTCCTGCGGGCCGGGACTCTTCCCTGTGTCCTGCCGTCAGCAGCGTTGCCGGTGTTACTCTACACCTTGGGAAGAGGGCACCTTGCAGTGACACTGCCGAGACTTAGATGCTCTGTACACACAGAAATTCTGGTGGCTGTGGGTTCTATCTTTGATGCATTTTGGCTTCATGGTCTTTGAAATTGTCATTACTTTCTTAAACCAATAATTGGCATTTGCATTGCTGTTCTAGCAAGCTCAGACTATATATACATGCACACACGTGCATACACACAGGCACATGCACCGCTGTGGGGAGAGAGACGTATTCCACATATATATCTATATCTATCATCTGTCTGTCTATCTATTCCAATCCATCTATCTGTATGGCAGTGGTTCCTGAATTTGATCCCCGCCCAGTGGCTGCATTGAAGCCACTTGGAAAATTAAAATACAGATCCCCTCACACTTCAGAGTCTACGCCTTCTTCACTGTTAGACTGCTTTTTTTGCTATTTCCATTGAAGGGGGCAGTCTGTCTCTATTGAAGAGGTTGGGAGCGAAGGCTTTGGAATGGGACAGATTGGATTTGAGTCCTGACTCTGACGTTTCCCGTTTGCTTGACCTTTGGAAGCCTCAGCACTTCTTCTGTAAAACGGGGACAGGCATCCCCACCTCCCAAGGTTGAAGTGAGGATTAAGTAACAACGTGAGCAGAGACAAGCGTGGGGTCTGGGGCGCAGTGGACTACCTGGGTCAGAGGTGGCTAGTTCAATTCTCAGTGCTATGCTATACCTATTTTGTGTGTTGTTTTTGTGTGTTATTTTTCGTCTGTTTGGGATGTTTTTCGAAAATGCCAGACAGGAGTTGGTATCCTTTGTCTCTCTGATTGGAAAAGGAGGGATCACTGCAAGAGTCGCGAGCAGCATTTTCTGAGAGGTGATGTGGTGGATTTCTTCAGTCAATTCCTGAACGACTTGTCTCAATGTTTAAATTATTATTTTTTTTCTAATTGATTTGCAGCGGAGATAAAAATCTGTTTTAAATACTACCACGGCATTAGTGGAGCCCTTCGTGCCACGACCCCCTGCATTACCGTGAAGAACCCGGCTGTGATGGTGAGTGCCCCTCATTGTCAGCTTCCTCAGGAGGTCCCCGGGGCCCGCTTTCTATTTTTGCCGGCGCAGCCCAGGCAGAGTTATGGGGAACAATGAAAAAGGAAATGCATAGCAGCGTGGGCACCCGCTTAAGGAGAGGGAAGAATGTACAGGCTGGCTTACCTCGATCCATAACACAAATCAGTGGAAAGGTCTGATTTGATTTGTGACAACTCTGTAAATAGTCAGCTCCTCAGAGAAGCCATTCAGGAAGCAAACAAGTGAGTAGCTCATCACACTTAGTCTAAATTTCATCTAGGTGACTGGTTGGGAGGAGATGGTGGCATTGCATCTTAAGTGAGTTTAACATACGTGAGCTCAGCGAGTAAAAGGGAGAAATAACAGTTTAAATCATGTGTGATTCTACTTGCCAGTCAACTTAACAAGCTTTCACGCCAAAGAGTATAAGACGGGGATCGTGCGTGTGCTGTTCCCTCAGGAGGTCTGAGCACCAGATCCCTTCATGCTGAGTTGGGCTGTAGTGCCTGAAGATACCAGACATTTGTGGTATGACATGGCCACTCAGTGGAAGTCCGTCTCTTCACCAGGTCTTCAAGTGAAGAGATACCAAATTTAGTTTTGGGGGAGCTGGTTGTGTTGGCCTTTTGAAGGAGAGAATGTCCATTTCCAACATGGTACTTTCCAAAGGATTGCTTTTTACAGTTTTGTCATTTTTTCACTCCATTGACTAACTTTGGAATCTAACAGCTTTGTAAGGTGTACTTCATTGCACAGGGATGGTTGGGTTCAGGTGGTTTGGGGAGATTCTCTGAGTCTAAGATATTTTAAAGCATTGTAGCTTCCATGAGCCATTAATAAAAATCAGGCCATGAAAGTATAAGAGAAAAACATTGACTCCCACAATATAGAATCTTCATAATGAAGTGTGTGCGTGTGTGCGTGCATGTGTGTATTGTGTGTATGTATGTGTTTATAGACCCATGCATTTTTGGAAATAGACAAGTGGCCATGTTGACTCCCTGAAATTCAGAAAGTCATCTCTGCAGGTGGCGTTTTGAAATTGTCCATACCCACGATGCGGTATCATGAAGTCTTTCCTTTTCAGTTATTCATTCAAACTGATATTCACTGGGTACCTGCTAAGTACCAGACATTGCACTCACCCCCAGGGTTGGAAGGATAAGCCAAAACCCAGTCCTTTCTCTCACATCTGGTGGGGACAAGAGACAGCAGTTAAATTAAATTACGTTTCTTTGAGTGATAATCACTATGAGGAGGAGTAAAATGGGACTATGACAGCATATACTGGTAGGATTTCTCTTGATCAAGGCCTTCGAGGGCTTCCTTGAAGAAGGTGTGTTTGCAGGACAATCTGAAGGATGGACAGGAGTTACTTACGTGGAGAGGGGGAGGGAAGAGCATTAAAGAGAGTAGGAATCGTATGTGTAAAATCTCCAGCATTTAAATATTCTTCTCACATTTGAATTACATTTGAGTTCCCACGTAATAAACATCGTTTAGAATTTAAAAGACTAATCCACATTTACTAAACAAGATTTTGAAGGTCGCAAGGAGAATAACAATTATCGATTACAAAATCTGCCATGTTACATACTAAGCACTGGTATGTGCTTTAATTAATCTTCTAAAAAACTATAAAACTGGAAAAGTGAGGGTTTTTTTTAATAATAAAACCTTTGAAAAATTAACTTTGTATAAAATTAGATAGTAGCTTCCAAACATGGTTTTCTGGATTCAGATTTTCTTAGACTTGAGCAAATTCAGTGATCAGGTATCATCAAAGACAGCAGGACTTACAGGTTGGTGAACATTGATCTCGTTCCATTGATTTTGCATTGAGATTATTCTCTCAAAGCCTGTGGATAGTTTGGAATAATTAATTTGCTTCAGACGGGTTTTATAGAACCTTAGAAGCTTCCCAGATACAGCTCCGGCTGTCAGAACCGAATATTTTGGTTCGAAGGATGACTAATGAAATCGGTGGTCAATAGATTTCTGACCGAGCTGAGACAATTGGGTCTGTATCCAGAACCGGAAGGCTGTGCCCCATGGACACCTCGTGATGCTGTGTTTCTATTCTGGCATGGTGACCACCGCGTTATATGACTTGCGTCTAGTTAGTGTGACTGGTTGACAGCGTTGACATTGACGAAGCCCTTTGGTGTAATTATTCCGTGACCATATGCAAAGAACAGTGCTGGGAGAAGTAACTGAGCAGCTCTGTAGGGGAGGAAGCAAGCTGCCGTCCTCATGGCATGGCCTCCTCTCTCGTATATCCTCCTGCAGTGAATCAGGGATTGAAAAGAGTTGTGTCTCTTCTGTCATTTGCACTTTGACGTCATTGTCATTCATCAGAGTACACAGTGATACGGGTCTCAGGCTCTTAGCACAGGAAATCCTCTGGCTTCAGGGACAGATAAAGGCTGGCATCCCTCACTACCACGTATTGTTCCAACACTTGATTGTCGATGTTGCTTCTGGGTTTTCCTGGAAGGAATCTATGGAGTGAGTTTATTTAGAAACTGCTCTCTAAACATCGACTGCTTTTATCCCTGATGTCCCTATATCTAGCGACAGTGTTTGGCCTTTCCTGGCTTTATTGTCATGAATGATAACATTGAATTTGTTGAGTATTATTTGAGATGAGCATTTGCCACAGTTGTAGTAAAGGACACAATCTGCAAATTCTGGGAGAATTGTTACACGTTAGCCTTTTGTCAGACAGTGGCCTATTTTTAAAATGAGCATTCAAAGGCATTTTCTTGTGTTTCTGTAATAGCTTATAACATTTTGAATAGGCTTAAGGGAAGACAAACCATGAACCTTTTCCATCTCATTTAACTCACTTAGCATCAGTATGGCTTAGCAGGAAGAGACTTCGTGTTGTGGAGGGCACAGATCTCACTGGGCAGTGTAGTCCGTTTGAGGGGAAGCTACGGTTTCCCAGGGGTCTGACTGGACCCAGGACTTGGAGAGGCAGGTTGCCGAGTGCTGTCGCAGTAATGTCCTGTGCTCCCTCACACTGTTCATTGCTCTGTAGCCCGGGCGGGTGTGGGGTGAAACCTCGGGGAGACCGTTATGGCAAGTTTGCTGCTGTCTCTGTTCCGGTAAGCTGGGGATAATGAGTCAGAGGGGAACGCCACAATATAATAAGCCGTGCATGCTGGTGGAGAGCCAACCCAGAATTATCAAGTAGTTGCTTTTATGGATGAGATGAAATGAGGAAGCCGGGATGGCACCCTAGCATATTGCTGATGACATTTGAAACATTAGGAATCAGGCAGGTGCCATACAAAATAGTACTGAAGAAGGGACAGGAAGTAGAGAAGGAAGTAGAAATTTATATTTCACAATTTGAATGGAATTTTTTTTTAATTGTTCAACTTTGCTTAGATTCGTAAAGTTTTATCTCTTAGCGGTATATGATTTGTTAAAATTAAGTATAATTAACAGACAGTGTTATTATTAGTTTCAGGTGTACAATATAATGATCAACAATTCTGTGCATTACTCAGTGCTCATGGTGATAAGTGTGCTCTTGAATCTCCATCACCCATTCCTCCCATCCCCCTACCCACCTCTCCCCTGGTAACTACCAATTTGTTCTCTGTATTTAAGAGTCTGGTTTTTTTGTTTATCTTTTTTGTTGTTGTTGTTTGTTCATTTGTTTTGTTTCTTAAATTCCATAGATGAGTAAAATCATACAGTATTTGTTTTTCTCTGAGTAGCTTATTTCATTTAGCATTCTACTCTCTAGCTCCATGCCTGTTGTCACACATGGCAAGATTTCATTCTTTTTATGGCTGAGTAATGTTCCACGGTGCATATGTACAGCATCTTCTTTATCCATCTATCTGTGGACATAGGCTGCTTCCATATCATGGCTATTGTAAATAATGCTGCAGTAAACATCGGGGTGCAGATATCTTTTCAAATTAGTGTTTTCAACTTCTCTGGGTAAGTACTCAGTACTGTAATTACTGGATCATATGATAATTCTGTTTTTAATTTTTTGAGAACCCCACATGCTGTTTTCCACTGGCTGCACCAGCTTGCATTTGGTGGTATGTGATTTTTAAAGGAGTAAGAGAGTGCTGCAAAGATTAGATTCAATGGTTTAATCTGAAATTTAGAAGAAAAATATAGTTTCTATTTCCTGACTATTCGAGATATATTCTGCCTTCACTTCTGTATCTTAAGGTATTGTGGGCATCTTTTTTAGAGAAATGGTAAACTCTGTTTTTCTAGTATACTAACTATAAATTGAGCACTAATTGCACATCAGTTGAGAGGAAGCCTGGATCTGCTTTGTGTTCCATAAATGACTGATTTCAAGTGAGATATAATTTACTTGAAAGCCTTTAGGAAAACTTTTTACAATGCAATAACCAGTACAACAGCATTGCAAACTCTTGTCATTGCTAAGTTATCATACCACGTGCCCTGTACCTGCAGCACAAGGAAATAGGAGTTTGCAAGGGCGATGGGACATTCACGTGGTCACCCAGAAATATTTGGCAAGAGGGGATAATTCTGCGTGTTTGTGGATGACCTTGCTATAAGTCACCTGTGTAGTTTATTCTAAGTTTTCCTAATCTAAAGGAATTTAGTGTTTAGTTTTTAACTTGAAGGATTATTTTAATATGCTAATAGCAATATAAGTGTACTCATTATATCTCAACTATATTCTTATCAAAGAAATAAAAGGACATGAAGTAGGTTGATGCATGTCCCAGGGAATTTAGAAGTTTGTGTTGCTTTCCTTTGTTGTAAAGACTAAATTGAGGTATGATGCTCTCATCTCTGAGAATATGCATTTGTGTCTCGATTCCAAGATTTATAGCATATAAAAAGGCATATGCTACAATGCATCTTTAACACAAAAAATCATCATATTTGCAAATGCACGTGGCTTCTTAAGAAAGTTGAGTACCATACTACACCTGTGAAACTTCTAATATGTGCTTTTCCTCTGCAGATGGGGGCAGAAGGCATGGAAGGAGGAGCTTCTGGAAATCAGCATTCTCGGAAGCTAGTTAGCTTTACCTTATCAGGTAAGGACGTCTTTAAACATGATTTCTGGTTTGGACGTGTGTAGTTTCAAAGGCGCGAGTGGCCATTTTGGTCTATAGATTCTCATATATGATATATGAACTAGTTATTTATATTATTTATATTATATTATTTATATTGTTTATATATTTTGGTAATATGCTGGGAATTCAAATATATTTCTTACCATTAGATTATTAATATAGGCTCAGAGATGATTTCTTCCACCAGGTTTTCTAGAGATAAAAAGACTATATAACTGTGTATCGTTACTTTAAAAGAACACTGTAGTGTAATATGTGCCTACCCCATAGTAGAACTTTGATTATTGAAAACAAGGTGTGGTTAGCTCATCTAGAGAAAGGAGAAGGTTGGAGACTAAGAAAAATAAGCCAAGGGATGCTCCTATTTCTGTGGAGAAATACACATAAAAGTTGGAAAGCTGATAAGACAATTTTTTTGTTTATTTTCGGGTTAGTGAAATACTGTAATTGCTTGTATGTTTATGAAAAAAAAAAAAAAAACACTGCTTTTCAGATTGTAAGTTGGAACTCATTTGTGTTTTGTAAGTTTAACTTATTTGAACCCAGCAGTTTAAAAAAAAGAATGCAGGAAAAGAAATCAGAGTTTTACACTAAAGGGAAATATTTTTTCATAGAACATCAGTATATACAAACTGAAAACTTGCACACACAAAAAGGACACACATCTATGCATATATATCCTGGATCTCAGAGTAAAATAGGTTTCATATGTAGGTTACGGTCAAAACAATTTGAAAGCTACTGATTTAAAAAAATTATTGGCACTTAAAAGTCAAGAATGTGCTAAGAAAATCAGTATTTGAAATGGACTTTTAAAACAGACAACGGTGCTACGATACACACAAATCACAGACTAACAGATGTCTGTCGCTGTAAGATGTTTTGTTTTCACTGTTCCATGGGAGCAGTGCTTCTGAAATTTAAATTAGATTCACTTTTCTTGGCTGCAAAAAGTGTTGTGAATGAAAATTGACAATTCTCAAGAGTGAGAGAAAGCTGATCTTGAAAACAGACATTTCCATGATGCATAATTACCACGTATGACGAAAGTGTGCACATTAGTTCATTGCTGGACTTGGCCTTCGGAGTGTCCATTTCTGTTCTGGCATGTTCCTTCTCCCCCATGGGAGGTTGCTTACTATGAAAGCCTTTTTTGCTTTGATTCTCTGGTGAATGTCAGAAGTCATAAACTGGTGGCTTACGGTTCAAATTTGGCATTGGTTTTGTTGGACCCCCTCAGGGTTTAAGACGTATCTAGTTTTTTAGAAGGGCGCTTAGAAGTACCATGGCTGGTGGTATACCTCCCTCACCCCCCGTTATCTGCGTGTCTCCTGAAAACTCTTATTTGACTACGCTTTAGACCTTCACAGTCCTGAGCGGCCACAGGTAGAGAAATCCTTCATTTATAGGTAGGGAACAAGTTACCAACCTCCATGGCTCAGAAAATTTCAAGTTTGACCATCCCATGGTTTTCTTAGTTTAGAAGCACTGCCCTCCACTTTCCAGTGATCAGTATCATCCTAAATATGATATACACATACTGATTTTGACTCGAGCGGATGCTAATTAACTCCCCATACGAGCATGACCATTTAGAAGCTGAAAATCCCAGGACATTTTCCTAAAATGTAAGAAATAAGCTTTGGGGCACCCCCAAATGCTGCTTCTTTAACTATAATTTCCTCCACCTTTCCACCTCAATGCACATGGTGGCTGGCTACTTTGTAACTGTTGTATTTCCTAATGTATTGTCAGGTATTTGCAGATGGTACAGAAATGGCCAAAAATTATAGATGAAATCAATTCTGTAATGGTAATTCTGAAAAAGTAACCCCATTATAGCATGTTGACAGTGAATGGTAATATTTATTAATATTGACTAAGCTCTGTAGAATGGCTACCTGCAGGTGTTCTACTCTTGATTAGGCAAGTGGGCACACAGATAATTGAATTCTACTTCTTCAACAAAAACTGCGCTTAGGTGAATATCTTCATCCTCTTCTCCAAATAAGACTTTAAACTAGGATAGTTAACATGTTATACCTTTGTAACTTTGAGTTCTTTTTTGGTCTGTGAGGTTATGTGGACATTTTTGAGCAATAAAATATGTGAAAGACAAAAGGGAGAAGCACGAGCAGAGATGAGATGGATAAGGGAGCGGAGTAATCAGACTACAAATAATTGATAGTTTCTTGTATTTATTAAGGAAGATTTATTTGTACAGTGTTCCTTATGGCCATATTTGGCGTGAGGGTTATTTAATAGTGACAGCTTTCATCCTGGTGGCTTCATCTCCCGAAGGGATGCTTTTTTGTTCAAAGGAATGCTTTGCATGAATAATTCAGCCCTGTCAGGCTTTGTAGCAGCCATTTCTGTACATGCTACTCCTCACTGACTGCAAAGAAATCCCTTCTTTAGGGGTCAATTTAATAGCTAAAGAATATTATTCTTCTGTCTTTGAGTCTGAGGCGATAATCAAGAAAGGTAAGAAAATAAATATGCAAACTGTATTTTTGTCTTACAGCTATTTTATGCGAACTAAAGCCAGGTGCAAACATGTAGCATTATGAAGTGGATCGTCAGAGGCAGAGGCTGTGTTAGTAATGACTCCACAGCTTGTGCAGTGTCGGGGCCGGGGCTGCAGGGCTAATGAGCTTCAGGGGTTTCCCTGAATGCCCGTGTTGCTCCTTACTCATCCTTCCCGTCTGCCATTGGTTTTCAGATCAAATATCTTACAGTTTTCATGCAGTGAAACATGCATGCATTTCATGCATTAACAGGAGGGATTCTTGGTTGAATTTTTCCACCTTCGCTGACTATTAAAATGGCTTCCTCAGCTGTTGTTGGACAACACGCTAGGCCACAGGTTCTCGTCGGCCATGGGTGAGCCTCCTTCAGGCAGCACTCCCTGAGACTACGGTTCTGTGGGCAACCCCAGGCCAGTTTTGTCTACTAAGAAAGACTGTGTTTCAAGAATGGGCTTGAGGGGCACCTCAGTGGCTCCGTTGGTGGGGCCCCTGACTCCTGATCTCAGCGCAGGTCTTGATCTCAGGGTCGTGTGTTCAGGCCCCATGTTGGGCCCATCGTGGAGAAAACATAAAAAAAAAAAAAGAATGAGCTTGAGTAGGTTGACTCAGGGGACCTCTTATAATTTGGGGTCACCACAAATGACCAATCTGGGTAATCCAAAAGTCTTTGAAGCTTCAGCAACATCTGCAGAATTTCTCTCAGGACCAGGGGTCAGAGAGATGCCTGGACCGATCACAATCGCATCAGGTTACTTAGAAACCGTCTATGACTGCAGGAACTTTGAAGATCACTTAGCTCGTGGGCCAGCCTTACCCAAACGGATATTCTCAGAAAGGTGCTGAGGACCCGGTGGATCTGGTTTATTGCCTGACATGTTTGCATCCCTTGGCCTGACTCCTTTTAAAAGTATCAGTTTCTCCATGTACCAGACTTTAGCCGGACATTTTGGCCACTCAGCTAGTGTGAAATGACAGCTGGTGAATCTAAGACGAGTCTGGGACATTCATCAGGTATGTAGGGTCCTAAACGGTAACCCCATAATTACTTAATACAGCAGGTGGCATTCACATTTTTAAGAAATATTTCTGGCCTCCTTTCCCCTCCAATATTTATTACATTTGTGGAGTATATATGACATTTTAAATGTGGGACAACTGAACGTGTACTCTCGAGTTTTACCCCAAATTAAACATAGGTCTATAATTTCATGTATGTAAGTAGAAGATTTAACTTTTCTTTCATGAAAGAACATATGATCATTCTTTTTGAAAAAATAAACTGTTGCCTAAGAATTTCTCTCAAGACACTGTTTGAAATGCTGGTTGCCAGACCACATGACGATGCATGTTAGAATCAAAATGGTATCTAGGAAAAGTCTGTTCAGGTAGGTAAGGTGATGATAAATGTTTGGCTTCACTTTTGTTGCCTGTCAGGAGACCCCCCTCTGCTGGAATTCATCATAATCCACTTGTCCTCACTTATCTAAGCACTCATAGTGTAAGTAACTTTGTTGCTGCTTTGCTGTTGTTTACCCCCCTCTCTCTTTCTCGCCCTCCCTCCTCTCTTCCTTTTTAGATCTTAGAGCAGTTGGGCTAAAGAAAGGGATGTTCTTCAATCCCGACCCTTATCTTAAGATGTCCATTCAGCCAGGGAAGAAGAGCAGTTTCCCCACCTGTGCCCACCACGGACAGGAGAGAAGGTCTACTATCATCAGTAACACCACTAATCCGATTTGGCACCGAGAGGTAAGATGATCCTCAAGGCTCTTCTACTTGACCGGAAGTTGGCCAAGTCTTTCTTTGTTCTGCGTATCACTGAGCTGTTTATGAGCACAGCAGGATGACTGAGGGGTCTCGGGGTTCTGTTGGAAAGAGGCTCTGAAGGGAAAGAGATAGTCCCTTGTGGCCAAGGCCAGGTGTAGGGCAAAGCACGTGAAGTCCTTACCTCAGGAACATGACTTAAAGGGGGCCAAAAGGCTCAATCATCAAAATTAATATTTTAATGAAATTTTTTTTTACAAAAATCAAAATCAATGCAAAAAAATTCATAATGAACAAATATTAAAATTTTAAATAAGGGCAGGGTCAGTAACCGTGCCTTGCAGCGCCGTGTGAGAGTCTGAGGCAGAAGGAAAAGTCAGTAACACCAATCCTGTTTTTATTTAAAATTTTTATGTTTTTGTACCCGAAACTGATATAACACTATATGTTAACTAACTGGAATTAAAATTAAAAACTTTAAAAGCCCTCCCAATCTTTTATGTTTTGTTCTAGTGTATATTCAGTACAAATTAAGGGGATTTCTCTCCCTGTAGGCTTTGGCAAAGGTTTTTCGGATGTCTAGAATTTGGTTAATTAATAAGGCATTGAAGGACTCGTCATACTGAGTGAAGGCAGACTGTTGATGTGTTGATGACAGACACTGTCAAGTTCCTCACAGATACATTATGTTACCTGTCATCTTCATGCAACGCATCATTTAAATCAAACGAGGGGTTTTCTCATTCGAACTCAGGAAAGTCAAGGAACGAACAGACATTGTTTCTCATCTAATGAACAAAGCGTGAGCTCTCCCGCCATTTCTCAGAGATCCAAGAAATGTTTAACCTACTAGTGTTAGAATGTTTCTGGGTAAACCTTCACTGGGTGTAGGAGTTATACAATGAATCAGGTCATTCCCTAAATGTTTAATGACAACAATATGACCTAAAAGGTTTGTAGAAATATTTCACTGGGGTGGGAGATAATTCAGGGGATCTAAAACCAATTGGAAAAAAATAGGTATGGCTATTTGTGACTTGTCAGCAGAGCAGGATGTTTCTCCTGAGAAGTTAATGTGGTCATTTAAGTGGATGACATATTGCATATATTCTTACACCTGGTTTAAAAAACTACTTACAATCTCCAAATAGTGAATGACTCTTAAAGGCACAGCACTTAATTTAACACATTTAGAAGCCTAGAAGACGTAACGTGCATCTCACTGTGAGCTCCAGAAGGAACATAGTGGATATGTTAATGATCCTAACAATAAGTTTCTTTTGCTAACATTTTATATTTACAAAGTTCTTAACCATGTTATCAGTGTATGCCTAAGAAGGCGGCATAAGGGATGAGATCCTCATCTCTCCATTTTGATAATTAAGGAACTGAAGATTGAAGCGTTTATGTAATAGCTTCTTAGAGACAGAGGTAGTGCTTAAACTCAGCACTCTTATTCTTAGCAAATGTTTTTTCTTTTCAGCAGATTCCTAGACTCCATGGCCCTTGGCAGAACTTTAATTGTTATGACTAAATAAACTTAGTGGTGCCCAAGTATAAAACTGGCCAGCGCCATTCAAATCACTGTGGTTGAGTAGATAATGTTAGGGAAGGGGTAATATTGTTCAGGTTAGATTCTGGCCCCATCACTAACTTATCCTGAGATCCTCGTTCTTGAAAATGTTACTCGTAAAGATAACATGAAGGGAATATAGGTGAAAATCTTTGTAAATGAATAAAGCTTTTTATATTTATTTTATATTCTTATTAATAGCCAATCTGATTTTCTCCAGTGGCATTCCTAAGCAAAACAACAAAGCTTATGTTAACTTCATGTTTTTATTTTTCTGTCCCGTGTGCCTTTTAAATTAACATTTTTAGACATTGTTTCATTCTCATATTTATCAGAGAAACCACAGTATTCTGTAGATGTTCCTACTTTAGCCATTAAGTGAAAGAGTATTTTAATCTATGCTGTACAACTTCTGACTCGCATGGGATGAGGAATTAAAATTGCTGGTAATCAAACACAGCAATATTTCGAAAGCATCCTGTAACAGGATATTAAATTTCAAAGAATTGAGGTACATTAAATGTAGTAAGTACTAAAACTGCATTGTGCACAATTTAATATTTGATAGCGTCTCCTAAAACTGTTGTACCCGGAAGAACTGCGTGATTGAAGGGGCTTCTTTTGTCCTGCAGGTCCTTAACTGATGCCTTGTAATCACTGTGAATGCTAACGATTCTAAGTGAGTAGAGGATGGACATTGGCTGCAGATATTTCTAGCAAGGTGGACTCTAAGTCAATAGGATTTAAGAGAGAACATTTTCTATAATAATGAAATGATATAATTTCATATTTGTCTTTCTTCTGAATCAACATGTTACCTGTTTTTGTTTTCAGAAATATTCCTTTTTTGCACTGCTTACTGATGTCTTAGAAATTGAAATTAAGGACAAATTTGCCAAGAGCCGTCCCATCATCAAGCGTTTCCTGGGGAAACTAACCATTCCAGTCCAGAGACTGCTGGAGCGGCAAGCCATTGGGTAATCAGCACCCCTTTGTAGGGATCTTGTTGAGATTAGTTTGCACAGAAGCAACTGAAATGAAATTTTGTAGTCCTAGGACTTTTCTCACTGAGAAGAAGTGGTAAGATAATTCTTTTATTTTTTATTTATTTTTTTTAAAAGATTTTATTTATTTATTTGTCAGAATGAGCACAGGCAGACAGAGTGGCAGGCAGAGGCAGAGGGAGAAGCAGGCTCCTGCTGAGCAAGGAGCCCGATGTGGGACTTGATCCCAGGACGCTGGGATCATGACCTGAGCCGAAGGCAGCGGCTTAACCAACTGAGCCACCCAGGTGTCCCAAGATAATTCTTTTAAAAAATGAAGTGTTTTTTATACTCATTAAACTGTTTAGGACCAAAGCACTTTGTTTTCATTATATACATAATAATAATAATAATAATATTATTATTATTATTATTATTCGGTATCTGTCTTTTCTGAGATGGGCCTATCATTAGCACTTCAGCATCAAAAGTCGTAATGCTCAACTATTTTTGAGTATATTGAAATCTTTCAGTGAAAGTCTCTCCTAGAGCAGGGTTCTAGTGTCAGGTTCACAGCTCCGTTATGCTAATTAATCCCATCCAGACAACTCACTATTCCTGAGAAACAAAAACCACTTTGTTTTAGGGCCATTTAAAATAAGACCTTAACTGGTACGAGGTATTATTGTAGAATTCCTAGACCTATACATTCATTCAAACAACTAAATTTTACTCACTCAGAGAATTTAAAATGTGACTTGATGTCTTTTTTCTTTCTGTGAGCTTTTTATAAGTTGTGAATAAACTAGTTAAGAAATCACAACATCCCTTATCGTAAATGGTGTATGTATTTTTATGTGGTCATTTCCAGCAAACTCAGTAACGTCACTGCTCTGAGGTAGCACTGAGCATACTGTTTTGGTTTCTTTTTCATTGTGGGAGAACATTATGAACATATGGCAGTAGTAATAGTAATAGTTGTGGTAGCAGTGATAGTGGTGGTGGTGGTGGTGGTGATGGTGCCGCCATCTTGTTTTGTACCTTCTTCACCATAAGAAAACATAAACAAATGGTAGTGTTGGTCCTAGTCTCAGTGACATCACAAGTAGTAACAGCAGTGGTAGCAATAGTAATAAATAAAAGTAGAGAAACAAAAAAGATGCCTAGAGCTTAATCTATGTCAGGGGTTAAGTTCATTATTCTCATTAGACCATGTAAACTCAACAGCTCCGGGAGGTCAGTAGTATGATTATACCCACTTCCAAGATGAGGAATCTGAGGTTAGCCGGCAGGAGGTGCAGCTGGGATATTTGAGGGCAGATCAGCCTGCTCTAGAATCCTGGCTTCCTGTGACACTTCACAGACGGGCAGCCATGTGTCATTATTCCAGCTAACTAAGGAAGGTTGCTCATTCATATCCACTCTGCAACCAGTGAACTGTTCTATTTTGGCGAGTCGTAATTAACTTGAGCATTCTTCATCTGAAAAATACAGTGTTTAGACCAGCTGAACTTGAAGGCCCCTTTAAAATCTGAAACTAAGAGATTGTAATGGGTTTTAAGTCTCTGGCCATCAGAGATGATGGAATTGGTGATGGAGCCAGCACATGTAAAGCAGGAACAGTATGCTGAAATTCTAATAGCCTGGTTTATCTGATAAAGGTTAGGAAATCACAATTTTTGCTTCTGGTAGAGATCATATACATTAGGAAGTTTTTTAAAAGTTATTTTAAGGGTTTATAGAAAGTGGAAGATTTTAAAAAATAAACTAAGTATGGTAAATACAATAAATACAGTATATTAATTTATATAACTATCATCATATAGTTTACAGAATATATATGATACATGGTAAAAGTGTGAAGTTACGTACACCAGTAAGAATGATCAAGGCAATGAAGCTGTTGTTGACTTACGGGCTTTTCATTTAGTCTTTTAAACAATTGGACACTTTGAGAACTACCAGTCCTGAATTGATGTGTATTAGAAGGAAGTCCAGCATGAATTTGTAAAATACTGGAATTATGAAATGTTTCTGCATAGGTGTGTTAGAAACATTGTCTGATACAGGTACTTGGGGATTTGCTTTATTAGATAAGGAGGATACTACATATTAGTATATCCGCTACTGACCCCTAAATATATATTCCTGATCTGAATTTTGCTTTCCACCAAGTAACTGATTCATCTTGAGAAGTGCTGGGCTTCCATTCCTTACATGTTTGGCAGATTAGGGCCCTCAGAAGTAGTTGAGGTTTTACAGAGTGTGGTTTTGTAGGATGAGCTAGAACTTCTTGCTAATTACCCATTTTGAGAGTATTTGTTTGAATGTGAGTTTTCAGTGAGTGGCCCACGTTTGTCCAAAATGCACATCACTTTCCTCTGCTTTGTCCATCCCTCTGGTTACATTAGAGAGAGATGCCTCAGGCAGTGAGAGAATTTGGCACTTATTCTTCATAATTGTGTATCATAATAATATGTAATATATTGCTCGCAATCATACATCACCGCAAGAAGCAGGATGTGTCAGATGAGACTGGCTAAGAACAAAGATGAAAAAAAAAAGAAAAAAGAAAAAACCCCAACAATAAACAAAAGAGAAATATTTAAAAAAACAAAAATAAAAACAGATAAAGAAAGAAAGAAAGAAAGAGGACAGGTGACTCCTCTGACAGGCCCTTAACAGGGATGAAACCCTTAGCTCAGCTCTCTGAATAGAAGGATTTCCTGTATTTGTACAATGAATAGTTGAATTGAGTATCTGGCCAGTTTGGCTAATAAACAGCACTAACACCTGTTAGAATTCTTCTTTCCAAGCAAAGAGTCTCATTTGTTAATTAATTTGTTAAACAAATATGTGTGTATACATATACCGTGTCTACTAAATGTTAAACACGCTGTTTGGTATTGGGGATACAACGGTGAGCAAGACAGATGGAGGCAGCTCTTTTCTTACGATTCCTATGAAACATTTGTTTCCTAGCTCAAATCCCTCACTTTTATAAATCGTCCGTTATCAACACCAACACGCTGCTGTTACTGGCTGAGGAGAAGATGAGGATCAGTTTGTTTTTAACAGAGAAAGAGGTTTTATTATTCCAGGACTTAATGTCCAAAGGGATGGGTGAGGAACCACAATGTTGAGGACAGGCCCGTGTAATTTGCGGCTAGGTTCATGCCTTAGCGGGCAGAGATCAGGCCCCTCTGTGGGTTAGGCGCTGTCTAAATTCTGGGAAGACCATGGTAAGAGAAAGAAAAAGACAGTCCTGGTATGATGCAGATTATAGCCATTATACAATGTTACTTGAACACTTTAATGTAAAAGTAGTATAACTATACTAATGGTAAGAAATGCCTGTATACCCCTTTGCAGAAAAGATTTTTGGAAAATACCAGCTGAGGTAGGAAAGGCATGATCAGAATAGCAGTTACATTTAGATGAGCCATGAGTAAATCACGTCATTGAAATGCGTGCTGCTGAAAGCGGCCTAGAACCGCTGAGAAGACATAAAGCGGGATAGTGGTATGTGAGTGCAGAGCGGGGGATTCGTGGTCAGATGAATCTGTTCTAATCCCGGCTCTGTCCCGCAGTACTTGTGTCTGGCCTCAGACGAGTCACCCACCCTCCCCACGCCTCGGTGTCCTCCTTCAGAAAACAGAGCTGCCGCATGCCTCCCTGGGTGACTGAGAGACGTGCAGGCAAAGCCCTTAGCAGAGTGTGCGTGGCCCATGGGAAGCACTCACGCTGGGAAATGAAAGCATTTTAAAAACATCGAGACAAAAACTGTCACGATGTTTCTAGGGAAGAAAAGAAAAAGAAAGAAGAAAATAATCTTACAGTTTTAAGACATTCTTGCTAAGAAGTCAGAAGGAGCCCCAAGAGCTGAACCGGGATTTTGCAGTCACACGTGTTCTTTTAAAGGGGTGACGTCTGTGCGGAATTATCCTGAGAAGGTAGAGACGGACAAACAAAACAGTACATGCGCTAATAATGCACAGCAGACTGGTGGCTCTAAGCGGCACAGTTGTGCAAATAGAAGGCAAAGGCGTTGTTTTCCTTCTGAAGTTGCCAGTAGAGGGCAGTGTGAGAGCACTGTGTGTGATTTCATACTCTCCTTTGGTTATTTTCTTGTATGAAGAAAAAATCAGATTGAGAATGAAGGTTGCTTCATACAAGGTCATGATGTAATTGCATTTGACTTTGATTAAATAAACAGATTGAGGCCGGAATAGGGGGCCATGGTAGTCAGGGATAGACACTTCCCATCCTGCCGTCTTCCAACTTCCAGCTCCTATGCCTCAAGTACACTAGTGAAGTGTCCCCATGTCCTTGTGTGATAGTCCTTACCTGTTGTGTCCTTGTAGGACCAGTTTCCTATTCTGCTAAATGCTGAGCAACCAGGCCCTCTACACTTTTATACCTCAGTCAAAAAATACCAAAACCTTTCCCAGCTCCTTGATGACTTCAGAATGATCTTTTCCTGGTTGCTGTTAGCAGTGAGAGAGCAAATCAGTCCCTGTTTAAGAAAGTCATGTGATACTGTGTTGCGTTTTCAGCTTCTAACAAGATTTTGTTGCATTCTGGGGTTTATAAGTATTCCTTTGTGGGAATGCATCATATTACGTTGGATTATAACAGGCTTTGGAGTGTTGTATTTTCTGGTGAGTCGGAAAGTGTTAAGAGAAGTGCGTGAGATTTGCAGGTGGCCTGCTGGAGGAGGGGAAGGCTGACAGCGGTGTAGTAAGGAAAGAACCATTTCTCCTCTTACAGTGATCAGATGCTCAGCTACAACCTTGGCCGCAGGCTCCCAGCCGACCACGTGAGTGGGTACCTCCAGTTCAAGGTGGAGGTCACGTCTTCTGCGCACGAAGGTGAGAGAGCTCTATGACTACATCGCTGTGGGAAAAACTTGTTCAGTCTGAATCCATTGTCCGTTGACATTGGAACAGAATTTGAATTTGTGTCCTGTTGTGAAACTAAAATAGCTAATCCACGATTACCTCCTGAAGTTTCCCAAGCAGATGGGCAAGCTTGTTTCTCAAAAAATCTCTTAGGTTTACTCCTGCATTGGGAAACTGAATTCTAGAATTTCTAGGAGTAGTGAACGCAGACACTTCATTGGTCACACTGACCAAAAGATACTAGTTCAGTAGTGAGTTGCTCATCTTTGCCAGGCAGCGAAACCGTGAAGAAGGCTTGCCGGGATGACTGAGTTTGTTGAACTGGGTGGGGGGGGGGGGGGGGGGGGGGGGGGGGGAACAAAGGGACTGAACATTAGATTTTTTTGTCATGACCAATTTGTTTGAATACATGCTGTTTTCTCCTTCAGATGCTTCTCCAGAAGCTGTTGGCACAATCCTTGGGGTCAACACTGTGAATGGAGACCTCGGAAGCCCTTCTGATGAGGAGGACATGTCAGGGGGCCATCACGACGGCCCCGTGTGTTCCAATGGGCCAGTTTCTGAGGACAGCACTGCTGACGGGACGCCCAAGCATTCTTTCAGGACTAGCTCCACTCTGGAAATAGACACAGAGGAGTTAACTTCCACGTCCTCGCGGACCTCACCCCCCCGAGGACGCCAGGATTCACTCAATGATTACTTAGATGCGATTGAACACAGCAGCCATTCCAGGCCGGGCCCGGCCTCCTGCTCGGAGAGGTCCATGGGCGCTTCGCCCAAGCTGCGGAGTAGTTTTCCCACTGACACGAGACTCAACGCCATGCTTCACATCGACTCCGACGAGGAGGACCACGAGTTCCAGCAAAACCTGGGCTACCCGTCTTCCTTGGAGGAGGAAGGAGGCTTGATCATGTTCGGCGCCACGTCGAGAACGGACGACGCGAGCCTGACGTCGCAGACGAAACCGGAGGACACCCCGGCGGAGGCGGAGGAAGCGTCCACGAACGATGCCGCGTCCTTGGAGGAGAAGCCGGAACATCCTCCCGAGCCGGCGGAGGCCTCGCTGCCCGCAGGCCCGGCCCCCGAGGAGAGCGAGAACGGCGCGGAGGCCCGACCCGGCGGCGAGCAGGGCAGCGGCGAGCTGTGCGACTCGCAGGAGGCGGACCAGGCGGCGAGCGGGGCGGACACGGCGGCCTCGGACGCGTCGGGGGGGAGCCGCCGCGCCGTCAGCGAGGCCGAGTCCCTGGACCAGGGCTCGGAGCCGTCGCAGGTGTCGTCGGAGACGGAGCCCAGTGACCCGGCCAGGACGGAGAGCGTGAGCGAGGCCAGCACCAGGCCGGAGGGCGAGAGCGACCTGGAGGGCGCCGACAGCTCCTGCAACGAGAGCGTCGCGACGCAGCTGTCGTCGGTGGACACGCGCTGCTCCTCGCTGGAGAGCGCGCGCTTCCCCGGGACGCCCGCCTTCTCCTCTCAGGACGAGGACGACGGAGCCGGCGCCGCCGAGCCCGCGGGCAGCGCCGCCGGAGGGTCCCCCGCGTCCCTGCGGGCGCCCAGCCCTTCGCCGGGGGTGGCGGCACCGGGGGCGGACGAGGAGGCGCCCGCGGAGGACTCGGCAGACTCGGCGGCCTCGGGCCCTGCGCCGCGGCAGGAGGAGGCCGGGGAGGTGTGGCGGCGGCGGGGGAGCCTGGAGGGGGCGGCCGCCCCCGAGAACCGGCCCCAAGACGACGGCGACGCCGCCGGGGAGGCCCGCGGGGCGTGCGAGGGGGCGGCGGCCCAGGAGGAGGGCGCGGCCGGAGGTAGGAGCCGGCGGGGCTCGGGCTCAGGCCGCCCGCGCGAGGGGAGTCTCGGGGTGTCCGTCGTGTGACTCGTGCTGCGGGTCTCGCGTCCGAATTCTGCCCCGCGGGCTGCGCGGGTAGCTTTGTCTTCGGGTGGATCCCCCACTGCGGGAGTGAGAGGCCTGTCAGTGGTGTCCGCGTCTCCACGGCGCCCCCGCCGGCGCCCGGGTTTCTCAGTAGAAACGCACACGGGCCGGCGGGGTCGCCGTCGGGGGCGGGTAGCGGCTTCGGACCCGCGTAGGTCACCGGCCCAGAGGGCCGAGTCCGCGCTCTGCGGGCGCCACGACGTTTCCGACTCTGCGGCACGGAAAGTGCCACCAAGTTGGGTGCTGCCTCCTGACACCGAAGAACGCGCTGTCTGAGCGTCGGGAAGCGGATTCACACCCACAGTTTGTATTTTGTCTCCGTGAACACGGCCGGGCAACGTTTCCTTCGCTGCCTCAGAAACCCTCAGGATAATTCCTGCGCCCGAAGAGCCCAGACGCAGAAACGGGAATGAGCTTCCTTATTCTGCAGCCTTTTTTATTTTTATTTATTTTTATTTTTACCTAAGGTGTCCCTTTCTTCTCCCCTCCTCCTGTTTTCCTTTTCTTCTTCTTTCTGTTTCCTTCATCGTCTTGTGGCCATGATGGGCCCCTGAAGGCCTGGGGCGTGACCAGGACCAGCCAGGAGGGGAAGCGGGGGCGGTGGGTGCAGAGGGACATTCCTCTGCAGGACCCTCTTCTGCTGAGCGCTCACCTCCGGCTCTTTTCTTCTGTTTCTGGGCCGGGAGAGAGAGACAGAGAGAGAGAGAGACAGGCGCAGACAGACAGACAGACAGACTAGGTCCCGGATGTATGTTAGCTGTGGTGGTTGTTTGGGTTTGGGTTTGGTTTGGTGTTTCAGAGACGGTTTTGACACTGAAGGGAAAACGCGACCCAAGCCCCCTTTCTCTTTAATCCTAGGTTCTCAAGCCAACGGCCACCAGCCATTGAGGTCGCTGCCTTCCGTGCGCCAGGACGTCAGCCGCTACCAGAGGGTGGACGAGGCTCTCCCGCCAAGTAAGCCCCTGTTAGCGCGCAGGTTCACGCCCCGAGGGCACCAGGGCGACAGGCAGATCCTTTCTATGGGACCGGAGGGCGGATGCCCATTGCCGGAGAGGATGGGCTCTCAGGGCTGCCCCTTGACAGAGCAGCAGCTGGTGGGGAAGTTGGGAGCTGAAGACTCTGGCACTGTCCTGTTGGGGGGTGGGGTCAGCGGGGATGGGGGTTGGGGGGCAGCACACACTGTAATAGAGTCGGTGCTATAATTGGGGAAACCGAGCCAGATATTTGGGGCAGTTGAGTTCATAATAGAAAATTTTAAAAATTATGCCTGACAGCAGCATGAATGTTCAGTCAGGAGACAAACTGCTACGATCTCTAAAAAAATCCTCACTCTATGGGATTTACTTCTTTCTATTCCCTTATAGCATTTTACGTCATTAAGTGGAATGTTCCGGTTTTTTCCTTGGGGATATGCAGAGAAGTGTGAATAATTTCAGGCATTGGTCTACCATTTATGTGGAGCATGACAATTATCTGGGCTTTTGAAAGATATGTCATTTCTTTCTTTTAAGAAACATGTGACACTTAAAGGGGGATGGTTGAGGATGAGGGACTCTGGGAAAACAGTTGTACAACCTGTATCCACAGGTCTGAGCAATACCCATGGCCAGTAATAATCTGGACATCATCTAAGCTCTGTTTAACTGTCTAGGATGCCTTACAGCAGTATTGCTCTTTAAGAGCAAGTATTTTGGGGCGCCTGGGTGGCTCAGTGGGTTAAAGCCTCTGCCTTCAGCTCAGGTCATGATCCCAGGGTCCTGGGATCGAGCCCCACATCGGGCTCTGCTCAGCGGGGAGCCTGCTTCCCCTCCTCTCTCTCTGCCTGCCTTTCTGCCTACTTGTGATCTCTGCCTGTCAAATAAATCAATAAAAAAAAAAATCTTTAAGAGCAAGTATTTTGATGAATAGTAACAACGCTCAGTAAATTCTGCTTGTAGGGGAACACATTGGAAACTATATCTTTCTGCATTATTGCTTTTCCTTCTTATTCAGTCTCTCAGCTCTCCCATCCTATAGGGGATCCTAGCAAGACACTGATGCCCCTGTATTTTAAAAATGATGGGACATAAGAACACCTGGGTGGCTCAGTACGTTAAGCGTCTGCTTTCAGCTCAGGTCATGATCCGAGGGTCCTGGATCCAGCCCGACACCACCTTCCTACTTCAGGGGGGGTGTCTGTTTCTCCCTCTCCCTCTGTTGTTCCCCACCCCCACCCTGTGCTCATGTAAGCCTCTCATCGGGCTCCCTACTCAGCGGGGGTCTGCTTCTCCCTCTGCCCTTCCTGCTGACAGGCTCTCTCTCTCAAATTAAAAAAAAAAAAATCTAAATAAAAATGGTGGGACATAAAGGCGGGGGTGCAGGAATATGCATTTGTAAGGCTGAAATGCTGAGTGCTTAGTTTTGGTGAGTGTTAACAAAAAAGCTGAATGGTACTGTGTACAATTGGCCAAAATATTGGCTTGATTCTTTGGAAATTCTGTTGTGAAGAGCTCCTCCCTTTGCCTATGTACTTTGATAATTGAGGGTGGTTATTTATAGGAAATACATATTTTAAGCAACTTTTAAAAATAGACCAAGAGATTAATTAACCAGTGTGTCATCTGAAGCAGGTGGAGGAATAAAAAGAATTCCTTATTGTTTACCCCGGGAGAAAAGATTAGAGATGGAAAAGAAAAATACCCCTGGGAGGTAGTTGGATATAATAGGAAAAAAATGAATTGGAAACATGAAGAGAGGATTCTGGAGGACCTTTGTTTGTATGTGTCTGTGGATTAGTAGTAATTCGAGTTTCTGAGGCGTTGCATCACATCAGAGTATGGGTAAACGGCATCTTCTGGCCACATCTAGTTGCTCCGAATTTTATTGAACAATGATTTTGGTTTCCAGATTGCATTTGATAAAGGCAGGTACTTTTCTGCTGAACCTATGGCTGCTATTTGTGATATTTCAGTGCATTTGTTTGAACATTGATATTTGCATTATATAGAATTTATTTTAAGATTTAAAAAAACAGTTGGTTTAATAAGTTGATATATCTAAGTGCAAAAAAAGCAATTTAATAGTGTATCCAATTTAATGAGTGACTGAAGAGGAGAAAATTCTTTCTTAAAAAAGTATGTTTTTGAGATTATTTATCTGACAGGGGTGCCTGGGTAGCTCAGTGGGTTGAGGCCTTTGCCTTCAGCTCATGTCATGATCCCAGGGTCCTGGGATCAAGCCCCGCATTGGGGTCCCTGCTCAGTGGGGAGCCTGCTTCCTCCTCTCTCTCTCTGCCTGCCTCTCAGCCTACTTGTGATCTCTGTCTGTCAAATAAATAAATAAAATCCTTAAAAAAAAAAGATTATTTATCAGACAGAGAGAGAAAGAGAGAGCATGGAGGAGGGATTGAGGGAGAGGGAGAGAAAGAAATAATCCTCAAGTAGACTCCCCAGGGAGTGTGGAACCCCCATGCAGGGCTCCACACAGGGCTCACTCCCAGGATCCTGAGATCATGACCTGAGCGGAAGTCAAAAGCTGACCGCTTCGACTGACTGAACCCCTCGGGTGCCCCAAGAAGAGAAAAATTCTTAATCTCTTTTATGCAACTTACAAATTTGGGTTTTTCTATGATCAAGAATAGGTTACAGATTACGGTCTGAGCCTGATTACTGTTTGGCTCTGTCCTCACACTGTTTTGGCCCCTCCTGTTCTCAGGTCTGTCTCATCCTTTTTAACATCTTATTTAATCACGTGGCTGCTCTGCTAGTTGTCTGTCCCCAACCTAACCAGTTCTCTGCCTTCCTTTCCTAACTGGACAGCTCTGCTACCACCTCGGGCCATGCCTCCTACTTGGAGCTGTGGCATTCCACATTCCACACTGTCTTGTGCCTTCTGCCTTCACGCAAGGTCTCCGGGGAGGCTCGGCCATGGGGCGCCTGGTTGGATTGTACAGATTAGTCCGTCCCTTAAATGACTGGGCTAAGAGTTGTGCTTTTAACACTGTGAATTATGACACTCAAACGTGCCTAGTGCTTCATAGTTTACAGAGCATGTTTACCTACTTTATTTTTTGTTCTTTGTTACACTTTTATAAAGTAGGTCAAGTGGGTAGAAATTGGCTAAAATGATTCTTTAATTTCATTGATGGAGAAACTGAAGCCCAGATAAATTAAGTAACTTGTTTACGATCTCTACTTCACTAGTTGAGACAGAGTCTTAAACAACTTCCTTGTCCTCTATCAGGTATTCTGATCTGAGATTAGAAGGGAAGGGACTCTGGTGTGGGTAGATGAATGTAAATTTTGAAAGTTACTTAGCAGCAGAGTAGTGGCATATATGATGGTGTGTCACCTGCTAGATACAAGCATCACCTTAAATAAGAGGTTTTGGGGGCTTCACTGAAGCTTTCTTCCATCGTAGTGTTTTGAGGTCAGACCTAGGAAGGCTCAAAAAGCATTCAACTTTCTTCTCATTCTGCTGGATTAAGATTACTCAGCAGGACTCTTCCCCAGGGGCCCTGAAGTCTAAGAAAAGTGGTTGTGGCGACAATGTGAGCATTGCCCAGACAGGTTTGCTCTCTTAAGCCTTTGTATCAGACTCAGAAGCACATTTTCCTCCTTGTGTGGGTCACTGTCCACAACCCTCGGCAGGGCAGGCTGCTGAAACATTGTACCTTGGGCTTTGATGCCCTCCCCCCCATTCTTGATTCTTGCTTTTTTTTCCAAGTTATTATTGTTGTTACTTGAGCTTATTTCACCTTAAGAACCTTGTGTACTAACATATAGCGAGGAAACCACAGCAAACTTAGGCTTCTCTCTGAAGATTTACAGACACAATGAAGGGGATCAGCAGTGTCCCTTGCTGTACCTTTTCCCCGTCACAGCTAATCATGGGGTGGTCTGTGCATCAGTGTTACAATGTAGTCTCTGGACTCCTGTTTGATCTCTTTTTATGTAAAGCAGTTTTCCATGTTTGTTTGCTTCTTTGTCTAGTCTGATTCCTCCTATCTCGGGGACTGGGACCTGATCTTGGACTTGGTCTAGAGATGACAAAGCTATAGAGATGTTCTACCGATTGTTTTTAGAATCTTACTTGCTTCAGGCACAGGCCCTGTGATATGACCTTGGGAGCTGTGTAACGCCAGCCCCTGGCTGAGAGAGGTTCTCGTGATCCATATGATACGACTCTGTACAACTCCAGGTCTTAAGGGCAGCACGGCAGGGTGGAGAGCCTTCCCTGGAAATGGCTTAAATCTGAATCCGCACTGAGCACCTTCAGAATTTGTTGATCTTTTTTTTTTTTTTTTAATTTTATTTTCTTGGTGTTCCCAGATTCATTGTTAATGCACCACACCCAGTCCTCCGTGCAATATGTGCCCTCCTGATCTTCTTCTGAGGTGATGGACGGCCCTGGCTGCTGGAGGCAGGTCAGGGCCGATGAAGCCCACTAGAATGTCATCAGCATGACAGATCTTGGTCATTTTAGCGTGAAGATAAGCTCAGCCCCTTCTGAAAAACTTTCATTTTATTTTTCTTACTGGCTATGGTATAATTGTGACTTAATCCCTTGCTGCACTGGGGACAAAAAGGAGCTGTTGAGTGTTTTTCCCCCAGAAGGGTAGGAGTTAGGAATGGGATTAGACTCTAAATGAACCATCTAGATTAGTGGACCCTGGTAGGATCCCACGGTGTTAGGACCAGCGCACTACTTAGGTGGTAGGTTCAAATGGGCAGGTCTGGAGAAACACAGGAGAATGTTTATCATTTTTTTGTGGTTGTGCTGCACTTTCATTATTAAAGCATCCTTTGAAATGAAAGTTTAAAATAAGGCTGTGAATCTGAAAGGTCTAATTAATCTAACTTTCTACTATGTTTAAGGCTAGGGGCTCTTATTTTCTAGAGCTTAAAAGTGAGTTTTAAGAGCTGAATTGATACTTTTAATCTAAAAACTACTTTCTTTAAAAATGGATTTAAGGTCCACCATAGACAGCTATTTGAGATTTTTAAATCTTTTTTTTTTTTTAAATATGATATACAGACAGAAAAGAGCACATTCCGCCTGCTAAATCCTCCGAGACTGAACATAGGTGTGTGTCAGTGCCCCGTCACTGGGGCCCGGAAGTCTCTTTGGGCCCCTTTCAGTCACTAACCTGCCTCCCAAAGGGGAAATGGACCTACGGAGGTGACTTCCAAAATCACAGATAAGTTAACTTACTTTTGTACTTTGTACAAATGGTATATACCTCCTTGAGTGTTGAAATAAGGAAAAACTAATCTTTCAAACACAGCTGTCCATCATCTACCACAAAAGCTTAATTTTTTCCTTAGAATACCTTCAGTTCATTATAACTATCATCTCACCCTGTGGTAAAAACACCATGGTTTATATAATTTCTTATACTGGTTTATACATTTACTTCCCAATGTTCAGTTTCCTCGTATTTCTAAACCCAGTTAAAACTCATTCAGGTCCCGCTCAGGTCCTCTCAACTCCTTGGTTCACATGGTTCATGCTTCCCCGGAATTGTCCTCCTTTCTGTCTGTACCGATCTTCTTCCCAGTCTCAGCACACTCCCACATGTGTTCATGGCCTCATGTCATCACCAGCTGGACAGTCCAGTGGAGACCAAGGTCTAGTGTGAAAGGACTGGGAAAGAAGCCTGATGAGATGAAGAGGGATCCCAGGGACGACCCCTGCTCCCTTCCCACATATGCTGATTCTAAAAGTTGGAAGTTAAGACCTTCCTTGCTCCGCCTCCCTCCGGGGCTCTGCCTAGGGATTAACACTGTGACCATGGCCTCGGTGTACTTTTACACACTTTCCAACTCTCATGTCCCCTGTTGCCCAGCTGTTGAAAGGGGGCTGTTCTGTTTGAGTCTCAGGTTGTCTCCCAGTCCAGCAGCTCCTGGATCTCAGTTAGAGTCTTTTGGATGAAGTTTTGTTTCTTGTGAGCCTCTATGTCATGACCTCTTAGAAATCTAGCATTAACACCATGGGTTTGTCTAGTAACTTAACTGCTTTAAGTTCTTATAAATTTATGTCAGCGTTCCTCAGATTTTAGTGTGTCTAGGAGTCACTTAGAACGGTTGTCAAAAATGTAGACGACCGAGTCGTAGCTTCAGCTAGTCTGACCTTGCCCATCCAAGGTATGACCTGGGAACCTGCATTTTTATTGATCCTCAAAATGATTCTGATACCTACTGCCAGAGTCCCACACTTTGAGAAGCATTTCTGTAGGTAACAGTTCTCAAACCTTGTTATTGCCATGAAGCTCTTTATGCAAATAAAATCTTATGTGCAAGACCAGTAGGCACAAGAGGTAATGCTGGGGCTGCAGTGGCTGACACTGGCTTGGCAGGTCCTCAGGACCTCAAGGCCCCTGGCTCTATACAGCTAAATTAATTAGAGTTTAGTTGGCAAATGCAGGCCCAGACATGAGATGTTGATGGGTTTTTACTAAACCTAATGTAGAAAAATGGGTGTCATTTTGAAGATTCTTACAATTTTAGAACCGAAAGGGACCTTAGCTAGGTATTATTCTCCCCTCTGATTTTTCAGGTAAAGAAACTGTGGCTCAGGGATGTAGTGATTTGTTGAAGGTCATGGAACAAAGGTGTGACAAAGCCATGGCTGGAAGCCCCAGGCCTTCTGCTTCCCACTGTGGTGCACACATCCCAATACATTGTTCTCAGACGCATTGTGCCCTGATTGTACACCCCATTTTACAATATGGCAAGACAAGGAAGTCAATGCCAAGTTCCTAGTCTTCTAATCCTGCCTGTCTAATTTTATCATGGTTTCTGAAAGAACTCTGATGCTGGGCAGTGAGTTCTCGTATGCTTACTTGTACCAAGAATAAACTAGGCCCTGTATAAAAATGTGTAAGAAACCATATCCACCTCTCTCCACCCTGCAAGGAACTTTGGTAGATAAATTAGAGAGCTGATCTTCCTACGGACACCTCTACTGTCTTTGGATGGAAGGGTACACTTGGGTAAGAGCCAACAACAGAACAGCCTTTCCAACCTAATGCTAAGCGTCCTTGAAATCAGCAAGACAGCATTTCTCTTTATGGGATCTTAAGTAACCTCAATGTACAGGTAGGACATCTGATAGGGCTAGTCTTAATGGGCATCCAATGTTCCATGTTCTTTGAAAGCAGATTTTCGGACTTAATTTTCTTATTCTCATTGCACACAGCGATGTCTTTGTTAAAACACATTAAGGTTATTCCTGGAGTTTGTGGGAAGTGACCACAAGAATCATTCTTTGTTATGATTTTATGTTATTGAAATTACTTGTTCTTTCAGTTCATGCTATGTGTAACGTATAGTGGTAAATATATGTGGAGATTCCCCACTCTCCCTCCTCACCCATTTTGTTACCCATATGGCCTTTATAGAGACCATATTCTGTGGGGTAAATTCCTATGTAGTTTGTTCAAGGAAAAAGTTCTATCTTTGAAGATAATTTTTTTTACTTTCTTTTGTCAGAAAATGGAAAGTATGCCACAATAGTGGTTTTTTTTTCTGCTTTAACTGCCACAAAACTTAGAGCCAAATTTGAATTATAAACTTATCTTGGGAGCTTGGCAGCCCCTCTCTTTCTACTTTTTTTAGTTGGTTTCTATTCTGTTTTTATCCCTAATTGACCGATTCTACATTTTTTAAATTAAAAGCTACTGTAGACACTTTTGGGGAAAGAAATGGCCCTTTGTTTTCTTGTGCATTTGAGTTGCATATACTATGTGCTTGAGTTATCCTGGCTTTAATGAGATGGAGTAATTGGTTCCAAAATCTTTGAGATGGGAAAGTATGCAAAGAGCAGAGCAAAACAATGGAATAGATCAAAGGATTTTTGGAAAATCGTTCCTGAAAATGCTCTAATGGAGTTCCTATTTGTCAGCTTATGGCAGGCTGATCAAGAGGTCTTTTGGAAACGGCTCATTGATGGGATTGCGACTGTGTCCAAAGAATTCAGATTTGGCAGGCTGGTTCGTTGTGAGTCTGTGTTACCTTGGAGCATGAATGGCACTGATTTGCTTTTTTGTAAGTGTCGTGCTTTTTCTCAGCCCAATTTTTCTTTCTCTTGCCATTTGTTATAAATTACCATGTGCTGGGATCAACAAAAACAGATCTTTCCACCCCCAGCCCTCCACTGAGGCAGCCCTCAGTGATCAGCTGCTGCTGGCTAGGCTTTACCATTCAGGGCCTTCCAACCCTGAGAACTGCGTTAGAAAATGTGCTCTGTTCACCGTCAGAGTAAATGCCATAGGTGGTCAGCAGCCAACACGCCTTCTTCCTAGTCTGCAGGGTTACACCGACCCATAGTGTCTCTTGATTAGCCATGTGATGACATGGGGAGTTTTGAAACAACTGAGCTGCTAAGGAGAAAAGTGCTTATTAATTTCAAAAAACATTTTACACAGAAATAGAAATGTATAAACACTTAGCTGGTTAAGGAGTAGATTTCTGTTTTATTTTTTAAAGATTTATTTATTTGAGAGAGAGAGGGAGAAAGTGAGTGAGTGAGTGGGGGTGGGAAGGGGCAGAGGGAAAGGGAGAGAAAGAATCCCAAGCAGGCTCCACAAAGCACGCTCCACACCCAGCGTGGAGCCCGATGTGGGGCTCAATCCCATGACACTGAGGATCATGACCTGAGCTGAAATCCGGACTTGGACATGTAACTGGCTGAACCAGTTTTTGTATATTGTATATAAATTGTACTTCCCAACTACAGTCATTTTCAAAATTTTGCCTTTTGCAAAGATCAGCTCGTGCCTTGTGTATTTTGATAGGAGAATGGTCCTTTAGAGGGTCTCAGAGGAGGTCTGTCTGAGTCTAGAGATGATTCTGCTTTCTGTTTCTACTGAACATGCACTTATGTATTTGTTTACAGAGGTGAACAGACTTAATCAAGGAGATCGCTTAAACATAAAATTAAATAATACTTTAAAATGTTGTATTTATTTGAGGTTGGAGGCAAGTAATCACTCTTGTTCTGAAAATGTATTCATCTTTGGGAAAGTGCAAATGGAAGTTTGTAGATTATGACACTATTTGATGACTGGACCAGCATTAATTTCTTCTGAAGACTACATTTACCAGAATTGTATGTAAATATGCACTTGGAAGCTTCCAGCTCTACTTTCATTCATGCTGGAAGAAAAGAGAGAGGAAAATCAGTTTTTGGTGAAAACAGTCATTGACACCAATTTCAAAGTCTTCTGATACCAACAACCTGTATTTTTGAAACATTGGTGCTCACACATGAAGATGGGCATTGTGGACAGGTCTGGAAGGATTCTCTACACTGAGAGATCCTTTAAAGTGGGGGTATTCCACGCATGGGGTATGTTTTTTAACTGACCACAGCAGATCCTGAAGCGGACTGAGGGAGGTGCCTGGTGATGCGGTGAGACGTGTGTTATTAGCCCCAGTTTCTAGCACGTCAGGGAAAACCCGTGCTGGAGTTCATGAACCACATACACGGCCTCTGCTCCTCCTCTAACCACTCTCCGTGCATTCCTATGGTGTAGACTGGGAGGCGCGCATCGACAGCCACGGCCGGATCTTCTACGTGGATCACGTCAACCGAACCACCACGTGGCAGCGGCCGACGGCGCCCCCGGCCCCGCAAGTGCTGCAGAGGTCCAACTCCATACAGCAGATGGAGCAGCTGAATCGGAGGTGAGGATGGGCATTTCCGCTCTGGCTGTCGCGTGGTTGGCCTTATGCTCATGTGGGCCGCAGAAGAAAACAGGGTTGTCTCTCTCGTCAGTGGGTGACCTGTCATGAACATGTAGCTGGTACCTCTTTTGATTTATAGACTTCACTGAACTTCTCTTGGTTGAAAAAATAAGAACCACAGGCATACACCACTTGTTTGGAAACTGGAGAGGAAATAAGTAATGACGACCCTTTTCATCAACCCAAGGCATTGATTTTTAGTAAAAACAGAGTGTGTGTGTGTGTGTGTGTGTGTGTGTATAAAATATGAAGCCAAATATCTTTCTAAATACCTAGACTCTCTATTCATCATACATCTTTATTATCAACTAAGCTTTTTAAATGTCATTCTTTTGTGAAAATTAATGGCTATGAAATAAAAAGTTCTTTTCTTTCACAATGTAAGAATTTAATTTTCTTTGATTGAGTGCCACAGTTTTTTTTTTCCCCCCAGTTTTATTACTTTGTTAGGCAAGTGTTCCACAAACAACAAACAGAAGGAATTCAATGCATTGTAATTTACTTAAACAACAGATGGCCCAGAAGGTCAGGGAGTGGGTAAAGGTATAAAGTTTGAGGAAGAAATTTTGGCTGAGGCTGAGAAGATAGCTGAAATTTCTGGGCCCTAGAGGAACGGTTGGGTCCGTAATTTTGGAGGCTGCTGTGATGTAATGCTAGGCTACTGTTTTAGGTACCAGAGTATCCGCAGAACCATGACGAACGAGAGACCTGAGGAAAATTCCAATGCTATCGATGGGGCAGCGGAGGAAGCTGACTTTCACCAAGCCAGTGCAGGTGAGAGCACGTGGGTTGGTTTGGTTTGTAATCTCACAAAAGTAGAAAACAAATAATAAGGATCTCCAACAGATGAGGTTTTTCTTTTAGTGAACTTTCTATCTTCAGTAAGATCTGGTAATCCAGTGCAAATAAGAGAATTCACCAGAGACCTCTTCTAATCCTCGACTTTTTACTAGTGCTAAGAGAAGAATCACAAAACCAGATAGAATATAAATAACTAATCTCTAGATGTGTAGGATAGAGGAAAATGATTGAATCTGATCACTTAAAACATCTATGCATGCATTAAAATGGTAATAGTGGCTAAAAGTACTCCATGCCATTCCAGTCAGGTCTTATCTGTGAATTTACATGGAAGCAAAGAGTGTTTGGAGGATGAAAATAATAGTAAATGATGTAGCTATTCTCTGGCTCTTTTAAAACATAGATGGAAGTGAATAGATATGTTTCCACTACATGGAAAGGTTTCGCTGAAAGCCTTTGTGGTCTGCCCCATCCAGATTTCCGGCGGGAGAACGTCCTGCCCCACTCTACCTCTAGATCCAGGCTCACGTTGCTGTTACAGTCTCCCCCTGTGAAGTTCCTCATCAGCCCAGAGTTCTTCACCGTGCTGCATTCTAACCCTGTGAGTACCGAATCTGAGAGTTTGCGGTGGAGAGAGGGGCAGGCCAGAGGAAATTATCCCGGTTTGCATCATGAATTGTAGGAATGAGAAGAGCTGTCTACTGAGCCCTAAGTGCCTTCCGACATCTGTGTTAAGTACTATGTATGTTCTAACCCATTTGGTCCCAATACACCTAGGAGTCAGATGAAATTTCCATTTTTCCAGATAAGGAAACTGAAGCAGAGAAGTTAAATTTTCTTAAGATACAGGCTTCCAGTGATGGAATGACCGAATCATGGGACTAAAATCTATAGCCTAGGAAATACAGCCAATATATTGTAATAGCACTGGATGGTGACAGTTGGTGGCTGTAGGGCCCAGGACACACGGAAAGTCAAGTTTGAGCCTGGGAAGGTGGACAGAAGCCAGGTTACATGACCTAGACTCATATGTGGGACAATTCTGGGAAAGGGTAAGGCTCTTATACAAAGGACAGTGGGCTAACATTTGCAACTGTTACTGTAAAACATTATCATTCGGTGGTGGGAAGAGCTTTAGGCTTGAAGTCAGATAGCTCAGGTTTTCCTTTGCTTATCTGTCTGTCCCTTTGTTCATGCATTCATTCAACCAGGATTTATTAAATGCCTGTGATTTGGCTGGTACAGTCCAGACTGGGGATAGAGTGGTCAACAGGACAGAGTGGATTATGGTAACAAACTAGTGAACCAGAAAAGCTAATTCAAATGGTGCAGTGTGACATGAGGCACCATACATGGGACAAGGGTGTACTCGAGGATGAGCTCCTGGAGGCACTGCTTTGGATGGGGTGGACAGGAAGACCTCTTTGGGGGAGCTACATTTAAGCTGTTTGTAAAATGTCCAGGGGCCAGTAGGGTAAAGGTCTGGGAGCAGAACCTTCCTTGCCAGGGTAAAGCAAAGGCTCTAAGGCTTGAATGAGTCTGATGTGGTATGGAATAAGGTCAGAGAGGTGAGCAGGGCTTCAGAATGTAGGGCTGGTGTGATCTGGCAAACAATTTGGGCTTTATTCTAAATGGATTTCTTCTAAGGGGATTTCCTGTAGGGGTGTAATTCCAATGTTTATAAGTTCCCTCTGGCTGCTTAGCTGAACATAGGTTTTAGAGGGCAAGGCTGGCACCCGGGACACAAGTGAAAAGGCCCACGGTGAGACATAGGAGGAGCTGGGACTAGTGCAGTAGCAGTAGAGATGGTGACAAGGGGATGAATATGGGACATGTTTTGGAGGAAGAGCAGACATTCTTGTTAGTACTTTAGAGGGTGGGGACAAGAGAAAAGAAAGGCTTCCAGAAAGAGTAGTTGATTGGATAGTAGTGTTCAAGGGTTTGCTAATAAATGTTCAACAACAGCTGTGGGAGAATGCATGTGTGTGTGTGTGTGTGTGTGTGTGTGTGTGTATCTTACTGAGTGAAGGATGTATAGCACACAATTTACAAATAATAATAAAATACACAGAATGCTTTTGTTGCTTTTTGCTGAAGTCTGACATCAGTAGCCAACCTATAGCTGTAGTTTACAGACAAATGTAGTTCCAACATGAATCTTTTCATCTACTTTAAGCGTTAAGACAACAGTGAAGCAGGGAAGATGCAGGTTATAGCTTCACACTCCTGTGTTACTGAGCTCAGTGGTACCTTCTCTTTGAGCCACATAATAACTTCTGAATACCGGACTTAAATATCTTCTTGGGCACGCTTGCAGGCATGTTGTATGCAGCATAACAGCACAATGTGAAGTTTAATCTGTATTATTAGCATTTTATTTTCTCTATCAGTTTCTTAAGTCTAGACCTGACATCTAGAAAAAACCCAACAAACTTTTTTGTAAAGGCCCAGAAAGTATGTATTTTCAGCTTCTGGGCCAAAGACAACATGGAAACAAGTGGATGTGGCCGTATCTCAAAAAACTTTGCAGATGCAGCCAGCCAGCCCACAGCCCCATAGTTTGCCCACACCTATCCTGGGCAGCCCACAGAATTATATCAAAGCCTGGTTTGCATTTATTGATTTCTGTGATGTTAATACTCCCAACTATAGCTAATTTTAAGCTACCAATATGACCTCGCCAGGTTGTCAATGCAGACTGCCTTCTTGGGTGCAACTTCCTCATCATTACAATGTTTCAAGTAGAGGCTGGAGTCACAGTTGTTGGGTTGTGGTTAAAGGCTGTAGCTTTTAAACTTGGTCAAGTTCTATAAATAAATGCATATTCTTGATTCCCAGCTCTTAGAGATCCTGGTTCATTAGGTCTGGAGAGGCCCCAACCATCTATTTGTTTGTTTGTTTGGTTGGTTGGTTGGTTGGTTCCTTAAGTGATTCTGATGCAACTGGTCTATGACCTGTAGCTTTGGAATTCCTTGAATAAAAGATGTTGTGTTTAATGACCTCACTGCTTTTGTCACAAAGGTAACACATCCGGACGTTGGACAAATAACAGATTTTAACAGTGTAAAGATACTCAGCAACTTAAAGGTTTTTTGTTTCTTTTGTCTTCATGTTTTCATTGTTTTCCCCTTTTCGTGGGCATGATTTCAAAACATCTTTTGCTGGGAAGCCAGTCTTGATTCTAAAGTATTCTCTCTAAAGCATTTTTTTTTTTTTTCCTACCTGAACTGCCTTCATTATTGGCCACAAAGATCTCATGCTGTGCATGTATACATTTGTGTGAGATCGGAATTCTGTTGGGTTTAGGAAGCCTTATTTCCCTCTCTTCTCTGTGGCAGGAATTAAAGTAGCTGGATTTACCTTGCTGATGATCTCAAGGTAGAATTTATGGGAATAAGTTCCACAGTTTGTTGTTTTTTTTGTAGAGGTTATTACTTGATGGAATCTCTTCTTTTTCCTAGATTATGTAACAAAATGCTATGAGATAAACTTTTATTTGATTTTCTTATTTTAAGATTTATTTTCTAGTCTTTTTTTTTTGCTTGAATTGTTTATCACCCATAACTGTTTCAGTAGACTCCCTGTTTATATTATTGGAAATGTTCAACATACAGAAGGAGTATATTGATTTAAAAGCCTTCCTAATTCTGTCTTTTTATGATTTGAAGATAATCAGTTTATATTAAAAGAGTCATAAAAAATAGATTTTATGTAACAGTAACTTAATCATTTTTATTGAAAATAATGAAATTAAGTAGATATATGATTGTAATAACTCTAAAGGAAAACTTAAAATATTGTTTTTTGTATTTTGTTTTCATTTTTTTGCCTTGTGTTTGCTTAAGGTATATACTACTGCCCTCTGCTGGTATGATCAGATTTCTTCCAAAATTGTATTCATAAACAATTTCTGATAACTCAGGATCTAATTATTAGTGTCATATCTTTTAGAGTTGGTATGCCTGTGTTTGTCTAATTAATGTAATACATAAATAATGTCTCCTAATATGTAACTGAATAATGTTTCCAACATACATGCCAAAAATTGTTATTTTAGCTTTTATTAAGCTATAGAAATACATTAATTCTATCATCTAAGCTCCTTGGCATTTAAAGGGGAAAAATTATTCAAAAATACATAAATATATTCTTACAAGCCAGGAATTCCTGCTATTGCAAAATAGATGAATTGATAGTTTACAACTAGTTTTGCTAATAAGTTAAATTTTTCCTCCATTTTACTCTTTAGCTAGCTGAAAATAATGTAAAATCCCTTATGATTAAAAATACAGACTGTGTAAGACAGGGCTATTTTCATATCCCTGCATACATTTTATGGAAGCAATGTTACTTGATTTTGTTTATAATAAATTTTGTTTTGTGAATAAGGTATATGAATGCTCAGATCTGCTCCCTTGTGAACATGAGAGACATGAGAGAGAAACATGAGGATTCAGAATACTTATTCTTTTTATTTCATTTTGTTTTTAAAGATTTATTTATTTATTTGAAAGAGAGGGAGAGAGTTTGTGTGCATGCACACACATGCAAGTGGGGGGAGGCGAAGAAGGAGACAAGCAGACTCCCTGTTGAGTGGGGTGGGTGGGCTCCATCCCATGACCCTGAGATCAAGACCTGAGCTGAAACCTAGAGTCAGATGCTTAACTGATCGAGCCACCCAGGCACCCCTCAGTATGCCTATTCTTGGTGTAGGATTTATGAAATATGAAAGACAAATTTTATTTAGCTTTGATGTACTTACCTATGTTATTGCAAAGAACAAAATTAGATGAAATCAAGACTGGGCCAGGTGATCTTGGACATATGGTCCTTATAACAGGAAAGAAATGAAAAGGAAGGAAGGAAGGAAAAAAGAAGAGAAAGAGGGAGGGAGGAAAGAAAGAGTGAGGAAGAAAAGGAAAGAAAGGAAGAAAGAAAAAGAAAGAAGAAAAAAGGAGTACTATTTGCACTGTGGTTGGTTGATAAGAAATGAGTATTTTACATAATGTTCTCATTCTGCTGCCAAATGGCAATAACATTCCCCTCAACTCCTCTCAGTATTTTTCATTTCTAACACCTCAAGACACTCAACCAAACAAAACACGTTAAGCTCAAAGGAATGTTATTTTAACAGAATTCCAGTAAAGAAGTTCAGTTGATCATTCACTCAACCATCAGATGCTCATTTCTTGCCCGGAAAATGGGAAACAACCAAGAATAAGGCTAGGAAAGGAGCTTTGGAGTAGAGAAGCAGGAACAAGAGGGGACCTTTTCAATCGCACGAGAGATCGTTTAAAGGCGTTCGTTCCGTCTCCTGTTAACCGTCGTCCGCTCTCCGGTTCTCCCGGTGACTCCATACGCAGCCGCTTCCGGACAAGATCATTCCGTGCATTACCACGAGATTTTATCCTGTGACGGAACAGGGCGCATTTGTTTCTTCCTAATCTACTTTGGTTTCAGGTAGAAAGTCACATCCACTTACTACATCTTTTTCTCCAAGCCCAAAACCAAACGACAGCCCAAACACCGAAAACCCCTCACCCAGTGAGGACCACAGAACCACCGAGGGAGAACAAAATGCCTCTTTTCTCTTCTCCCACGGCTTTGCCAGTATTTGCTTCCTGGAAGACTAAGCTCTTGTCGTCGAATCCTACCGGTCAGTGTTTCCCGAGTGCCGGGACCCTCTCGTTGGTTGCTCTGCCGGTTCACTCTGTATTTCAGTGTTTTCACTGCTTCTGTGCCCTTTGATTTCCAGACTCTACTTTCTGCCTCCGGGGGAACTCTTCCTCCCACCTTTTCCTATAACGTCCCTTCCCGTCCTTCTGAATGATGAGGCTGTGCTCATCTCTGTATCCTCGGGGTTTAACACAGGGCTTGTGACATAATTAATGAAAGGTTATGAAAACCTTCTTTAGTTAGTAGAAAGTGGGATGCTGGCCCATTATCTTCAAAGACCTTAAAAGTAGAAAACAATTTTACTGCTATCATTCATCTGTTTTAACATAGGTATGGTAGGTATAATCCCTCATATATCCCTTTACTTACTTCTACTCTGTATTTTTATAGTGATTTTTACTTCTTCAAAGCTGTTTTACATCCTTTCTTTCACTGGGCTTGAGTCTCACGTGCCTATGAAGAAAGCGGGGCAGTTACTATGATCCCATGTTACAGGTGAACAAAGATTTAATCTCTGAGGCAGAGAGTAAATGATTTTCTTTGTCTCTGTCCATGAGTGACAGGGCTGTGACTAGAATCTTCACTATGGTTCCATATGAACTGGACTATAAATACTCTTTCTGAAATATATATACATATATACACACACATACATACACATATGTAGTTACATATATAAGTATATATCCAAAATGGTATATATTTAAAAACAAAAAATAGAACAAACATATGTATAAAAACATATGAACATACATATGTGTACAAATGTCATGTGTATACACATAAATACATATATAAATATGTTCATATGTTTATATATATTTATTTTTTCCTTATAGAAATGTAGCAGTCTGAAGGGATGTTCCCATTTGCCTTACAGGTTTTGTATGGACACTTACAGTCTGTGCATGTTCAGACTTGAAAAAGCTACGGTTCCAAAGATCGTTTGCTGGTTACTGATAAGAAATCTTTCTTGCACTTACTTTGCTTTGGTAGGTGGTTTTTTCCACCCCACTCAAAATTGGCACTATGTGACATATCTTACTGAGAGGAGAGGAGGAAAATGAAAGGTTGCAATTAATTATAAGACTGGCCTTAAGACTCCTGAGTGCAGAGAGCTGTGCAACCCCAGGGAATTACTTCACTTCACGCCTAGGGCTGCGACAGGTTCCTTCACCTAATTACTACTTCTTGCCCTAATGAAGTTCTCCTTCTCTTTAGTAGAATGAGGAACATTTCTGGTGCTCCAGATAAAGAATCAGGATGTGGCCTATTTACTTAGATTAATTGGGGGGGGGGGGAAATCAGGGGGACCAAGAGATATGCCTGTTTGGAACAACAGTTAATATAATGCTTTATCTGACAGAATTATCCTGCAGTAATGCACCCCAAAGAGACTGACTGGGGAGTATGGCTTGAAAGTTCGTTGCCAAATGCCACTCGAGCTGGTGTGGTCTTGGGCCTCTAAGCTTGCAGTGGCTTCTGTGAAAATACATCAGCAGCACAGAGCGAAATGCAAAAAACAGATCCTTGCTGATTGTGCATAAAACACCAAGGCAGGGTCAGCCACAGGCTAAACTATTTGTTAGCTAACGTTCGTCTCTGACAACCTCCAACTTCTTTTATTAGTCTCCGTCTCTGCTTTCATGATATCACTTTCTTATTCTCTCATGCTCTCTAATTGCCCGGAGCCCCTGCGTCGGCTTGCCTGTCTTGGCAGTGCACTGTGCTCTGAACCTCGCAATTTCTCCCAGCCGTCAAATCCTCCTCTCAGACTGTCAGGTTGAAATACAAGCTCAAAGTGTTTTATACTCACTCAGGTGTGCTAAGGAATTAGTGCGCTGGTGTTTTGAGGATAGTTCAGTGTGGCCGGCCGACATTCCTTCCTTCCTTCCTTCCTACCTCCTCCCTCCCTCTCTTACTTCTGTTCTGTCTTTTGTTTTGATGGGACAAAAATATTTTAGTAAAAAATATATAATGATGGAATCAGTTGGAAAAACTATATAAAAGTCGTCTTATATGGTTTAGTCTATATATCAATAACAGAAACTAACAGATCTTGGTGGCTTAAGCTGACAGAGGTCTGTTTCTCATCCCAAATTGGGTCATCAAGGTTCTCTGATCCCTATAATTACTCAGGGACCCAGGGACCCAGGGACCCAGACTGGGGAGCCACCACCATTTCAAATATCACCAGTTGCTATGATAACTGTGCCAAAGGGAAGAAAGCTCTAGAAGGACTGACATCATCAATAAATACTTTGACCAGAACATGACATATGTTAGGGGATCCTGGACAGACAAGAGCAATGTTAACTGTCCTCATACTCATTCATTTTTCATCCTCAGTAACTACGACAGTACTGGGCATAGCAAAGACAGTAAATGTTTATTAAAATGAAATCATTTCCAGAGATCCTGGTTTCTTTTGGGTTTGCTTTGGTCTACCTTAAAATGAAACAAATAACAGAACCACAAAGTTAGCCTGAAGGCCTCCAGACTCAGTCTAGTGGCACTGGGATGCTAAAGGTAAGAAGAATCCGTTTAATCTATCTGAGAAGAATAGAATTCCGGAATAGGTCCTTCACAACCGTAACAATTTCATGACTATCATATTCTTTCTGATAATGCAAGGAAATAGTTCCACACAGTTACTCCTTTTCTACTTCTTGACACGTAATGTTACACAATGGACATTTGTTGACTGACTTATATGTGGATAGCCCAGGGCTTATGGCTAATTTCTGGAATCTTGTTTAAGTATCATAGAAATGAAGACTATAACATTCTTCACAAGATAGTCACTGTTTTGTGTGGTTGTATAGTGGGGTTTTATTAAATGTGCATTTCAACTGTATAAATTCAATATACACACACACATATATACATATACACAAATACACACACACACACACCAAAAAAAAAGCAAGAAAAAAATCACGTATATAGCCCCAACACTTCTGCCTGCCATTCCACTCATTGAGATTATGCCTAGAAGAAGGTGTGAGATGAAAACCTTTATCTGTGTGGTCTCAGTTGAATTTGACTCTCAGGGAGAGCAACTCAACCCATTGCAAATACTCTGATATTCAGATATATGGCCAAGCACTTTTCCTGTGCAACTTAGCTGCTAAATGTATGACAACTGCTTCCCTGGCACTCACCCAAAGACCAGGGATCTCTTCCAGTGCTGGAGGGAAAACTGGCTATGTTGGGGTTCCCCGTGAGATGGTATATTTGTATTTGACATGGTGTGACTATGACTGTGCGGTTTTTGCCTAAGACCAACTTTAGGACCTGACATCCTTTGTGGAATGAGATTCTACAGCAAGCATTCTTGTTCTTTAGGAAACTAGACATCATCCATGAGGATCCCTTACTTTCTGTCATCTTGCTGTGTTATTTTGATCAAAATACTGTGCTCAGCCTGCTGTTTCCACGTGTGAGTCTAGAGCTGTATGGAAGCTTCTATGCCTACTGGACGACTACATACACCTGATGTCGCGTGGGAAGCATGTTGCTGTTGCAGGTCCAAGCGGGTTGACACGGTTCTCCTTTCTGTCCCCCAGAGTGCCTACCGCATGTTTACAAACAACACGTGTTTGAAGCACATGATCACCAAAGTCCGGCGGGACACCCACCACTTTGAGCGCTACCAGCATAACCGCGATCTCGTGGGATTCCTCAACATGTTCGCCAACAAACAGCTGGAGCTGCCAAGGGGCTGGGAGATGAAACACGACCATCAGGGCAAGGTAACGTGAGGGGGTCGCCTGGGGAAGCTGCTAAAGGACAGCGGGCTGCCCGCGGCGTTGGCCTTGGCTCAGCCATTCACGGGAGGGGAAAGGCCTCTGTGCTGTGAGACCTTCCATGTTCAGGTTCAGGGGAAACCTGGACACGCAGGTTGTCTCTACAGACAGTTACTATCGCTGTTCTGAGACAGTGTCTGGAGTGGACAGGCGCAAGGGCATTTGTTTGGCGAAATACTCCCTTTTGCCTTAATATTCTTCTGCCTATGATCTCTCCCCACTTTCTGCTGTTTAGAGAAAAGATTTCTTCGGCCGGGACACTTCCTCCTCGTTAGTTATGCAGGTTGTGTTATGGGTAGTTGATCGAACAGTTGTAGTATTGTTTGGGGAAAGTGGCTAGGAGGACAGTAAGCAACTGCTCAGCTACACTGCGGCCTCGGTGTTGTATCAGAACCCTGATTTTGGTAGCCTATTAAACAAGACTCACAGATTAATTCACGTATGATGAGAAATACGTATCAGTGTCATACAGGCCAGAGGAACCGCGTCTGCACTTCCTTCATAGCCAGGGGCCCCAGAAAGCCAGGTTATGATCAGGATGTGGTCATGAGTAAGAAATCAGAATGAGAAAATTAGTAATTTTTATAGGGTGTTTCTCAGCTAAGATTTTATGTTTTTAAATACTCTGGTTTAGTGCCTACTCTGGACCATGAACTGTTTAAGGTCTTTATACGTAGAAATTCCTCACTAGGGCTCTGTGAGGCAATGCTGCTGTTATTAATGCCATTTACAGACAAGGAGCCTCAGGTCAAGAATGGTGTGGTGGCTTGCTCAGGGTCACAGAGAGGGGCAGTGACTGAGCTGCACTCCAGCCCAGGCATCCTGGTTCACGGTCCATGCTCCCAAGCAGGGCCTGCTCTCTGTATAGTGCACAACCAGCCTCAGTGCCCCTAGCCGTAAGAAGACGGAAATGCATGACGTGGAGGATGGAGGGGATTAAAATGATATGATATTTAAAGTATTTAATCACGCCTCACTCATTCGTTCAACAAATATTTCTAGAGCACCTGTGCAAAACAGATAAGTCATCTACTTCATAGGACTGCCAATGCTCACAGATAGAGACAGAAAATAGTCAAATAGCATGCCAGATGCTAACTGATGCTGTGATTTTAAAAAACCGGGGGATGGGGACTAGAGAAAGACAGGAGTACAGAATTATTTTGTACGGAGTGGCCGGGGAATGCCTCCCCGGTAAGGTTAGATGTGAACAGAGACCTGAACAGAGTGAGGAGTAAACATATAAGGGAAAGAGCTTTCAAAGCAAGTGAAATGTTAAAATACTCAATAAATGCCATTCTCCCCCAAGGTGACCTCTGGCAACAATACCACAGTAGCATCTTACTCATCTTGAGTTCAGCTTCCAGCAATCTTATCTGAGAACCTATAGCCAGCCCAAATAGATGTTTTAAAGAGCATGTACTTTAATGCATGGGAGGAGCTCTCAGACTTTCAATGAAACTATTGACTTGATTTCTGTAAATTTCTTTAAACAACCTATAGTTCCTAGCCCAGAGAAGATTAGAGGTCTCAAGCATGAAGTGTAGTATAGATTAAAGAGAATGGATTTGTGTTTATGTCCCTGTCAGGGAAGCCTTTCCAAGACACTCAGAAGGGGGAGGCAGGACCATCTAGCACTTCTGGAACTTTCTCCTCCAGAGAATTATGTCACACTGCTGGTGCTAAGTTTGGTTCAGCAATCTGAGAACCCAATGTTTGTAAACGTTCTACTGAATGGAAGGACGTAGATGGTTTAAGTAAAGACTTTGGGAAGCAGTACCATACCAGGAATTCAGCTCTCTTCTCAGTTCTGACAAGATTTTATCTCTGCCCTAGGGAGTTATGCTCATTAGAGAGCCATGGGTCTGGGGAAAGCCCAACTTGAGATAATGCTGCCATACATTTTTGCTCTGAGACTTAACTTGATAAGTCACTTGTACCCTTCACTAAAGGCGATCAGGACCTTGTGTTTACCTCATGGGGCAGTCCCTTCCTGCCAGTAATAATGTGCCAGACCCACTGCAGGAGAGAGCTGCTTCTTAATAATCCTGGACCTTGAGAAAAGTTTTAGTTCTGTTTAGGACACTATTTAAGAAGAGTTGCAATTCCTAGGAACAAGTTCTATCTGATAGCCTTTATAAAAGTTTTCATAGTTAAGCTGAGGTAAACATATCTCCGCTATATGTGCAACACAACTGTCCATTTTACTTGCTGAGGCTTTCAGACTTATTTGGGGGTTTCAGTGCCTAAAGTTGTAGGTATTGTAAAGAACCTTGAGCGTGGGCTGGTAGGTAGTTGACCTCATAGCCTGCTGGTAGCTTTGCATTTGTTTTTGTTTTGTGATGTTTTTAAAAAAGATTTTATGTATTTATTTGACAGAGAGAGACAGCGAGAGAGGGAACACAAGCAGCGGGAGTGGGAGAGGGAAAAGCAGGCTTCCTGCTGAGCAGAGAGCATGATGCGGGGCTCAATCCCAGGACTCTGGGATCATGACCTGAGCATAAGGCAGATGCTTAATGACTGAGCCACCCAGGCTCAGCCTGTAGCTTTGGCTACAGGTGCTGTTTGGCATGAAAGATAGAGAAGGACTCCCAGCCTTGTGGGCAGAATGGATTATCAGACTCTTGAAAGCTTATCACATTAGTCTAATCTCTTTACTTTGTGCATTAGGACTTGAATAAGGTTTTTAGCTAAGCTGGACGTCTCAACTGAAGCAGGTACATCTCCCTGTGATTCCCCCCACCTCTATCCTTCCTTTGCAAATGTCTGGCTTCCGGGGAACTAAAACAGTTTAAAGGAGCATTGGGAGAGGCTTGCACTGGTCTTTCCTGGGCTGCACTGCTTTTGACTGCCGTTTGGAAATCATTGTTCTTATTCTCCAAGGTTGATAGGTTTTCTTCCAGTCTTGACATGTTAGCCCCCCTTTTAAACGAATTGCTTCATTTCCAGAACATTTAAAGGGTGTAAACTTTTCCCCTACTTAATATAACATCAAAAGCTATTAAATACTGCAAAGGTATTTTTCCACAGTGATGACTGATTTTAAGAATTGACACAGAATAAGATATCCAAGTCCTTAGTTTCGTGAAAGGAAATGCTTCTCAAGAGGAATATTCTCAAATTTAGCTCTTCAGACTTATGCAATCCGGTCTTCTCAAGGACAGCCTTTTTCCTTTCCTGTTTTCATTTATTTAGTCATTCGGCACACTTCCACGCACTTCTGAATGCCTCAGATGTGCATGCCACGGTGATATTGATAAAAGCTAACACTCCATGTGACATTAGGTAGTGTGTAGCATTGATTGTTTGGTAGATAAACACTTAGATTAGTTCCTTTCATGCTCACAGCAGCCTTGCAGATACCTGCTATTTTTAATCCACATTTTAAAGGGATGGAAACTAAGGCAGAGCATGGTTGAGTGAATTGACCAAGGTCCCACAATTAGAAAGTGATGGAATTGGATTTGAACCCAGGCAGTCCAGGTCTAGAGTCTGTGGTCTCATCCAGCCTTTCACCAGTGAGTAGGGTGGATGGATGTCTAATGATCTAACGAAGGTAGTAGAAGGTACCATGGGAGCCCATGGTAGGATTTCCTACCACTGTCAAGGAGGGTGAGGGCTTTCAGATGCATCATTGAAGGGCAGCATGAAGTGTGAGTTGCTGTTAGCAATCTGGGCCGAAGTAATCAGTCCTCCCTTGAATCCCCTCATAATTTTCCCTTGTGTTGTTCTCATGACATCTATCCACATCTGTCTCATGCAATAGTCATTAGCATGTTTTATCTTCCCAAGCAGATGATCCCCATTTTGAGAATTCTTTTATTTATTTTTAATTACCCCCTCTTCTACCCCAGCACCTTTCACATGCCAGGTTCTCAAAACAAGTTTGATATATGAAGGAAACTTGTCACCTGTAGTTTCCCAGTTATTAGTAATCTCTGTTTTGGACGGATGAAGACTCCCTCCCCACTCTTTCCTCCTCCTATCCTTTCACCAGAAAAAGCTCCTAGATTTGCTCATTTGACGTCCCTTAATGCATATGTTGCCTTGGATCTTTCACAATATGTTTAAACAAGGTGATGGAGATTGTATTGCACTTTGACAGTCATTAATTTTGGGGGAGACTTATTTTCTAATTACTTAAGGCCAGGGATTTAAATTGGGTGAAATTTCACAGAATTCTAGATCTGGTATGCTCTTTTTGGAATTTCTAGGGTGAACTAGGTCCATGGCTCACATAAAAGAATAGAAATAAAATATTTCTAGTTAACTATTAATTAAAGAATAAGAACAGTATCAGGCTTTCTAGATAAGATAATGATGATACCTGCAGTTTTAAACCTCATACCGTATGCAAGGCACTGTACGAGGTACTTTCCCATGGATTATCTTATCTACACTTCCTGGCAGTTTATGAGGTGGGTATTATTATAATTATCCACACTTTACTGAAATTTAGAGCTGTTAAATAATGTGTGCAAGCAAGTGAGGAATCCAGGATTCAAACATTATCTGTGTGACTTGACCACTGTTTTCTACTGGGAGGGATCGTCTTTGTCATCCTTTGGAGGAACTGTCCCAGGCCAGATGCTGGGGTTACTAGTATTCTTCAAGACTGAGACATAATGTATGTCTTGATTAGACCCCAGGTGATCTAGCAGAGACACACCCCCAGAGACACATATACATGGCTTCATGCTTAAATACCGTAGAGGTCTTATGCTATGGGTACATAGAATATTGAAATATAATAATAATAATAATGGCTGATTAGATGCCAAGCTCTAGGTGAGGGGTATTATATTAGGTCATTTTACTTTCACAATAACCCTGTGGAATGGGTTTTACTATAGATGAAGAAACAGGCTCAAAGAGATTTAGTGTGCAAGTAAACTCTTAGATACAAACCATGTCTTTCTATATCCAAGGCCTGTAATGGTTTTTCT